AAGTGGAGATTTATGTAGGAGATTCTTCAGGTTTCTCTACCATTGCTCACAGGGGCATTGAAATTCTTAAACACATTCACAACCTAACAAATGTGTCTGCCATGTCAGTGACACTATACTTCAGAATATGCAACAAAAAGGTTGATGGCATCAGCTAATCATACAAAGAGCTCAGTGGTTAACCTGGCAATAATAAAAGTATATAATATTTCGAGACTCTTCAAGTGAAGGATGAAGTTAGAGGAGTTTTTACTAAGTGACTAATATCTTATCTAGCAGACACATGCTACATTTGATTTCTTTTGGACATGCAACAGTGATCAACAGGTGGTCAGTTCTGTGAAATGCTCTCTGTTTCATCAGGTTTAGTAATCAAAAAGTTTAGTTTAAGAAACCAAAGCTTCTTGGTTATGTTAGGTTTTAAGAGCAGGATTTGGGTTTTCTTTACAGTTGGCATCTTGATCACCAATTCGTCATAAATACAAAAAAACCCTAAAGGATTGGTGATTGATTTTAGGTAAGGTTCCTCGGCACACCCTTTAATTATGAAAACATCATTATTCGTCATTATGTGTCATTGCAGCACATTTCTCCTAATAAAGACTCCTCTGCTGTTGCAGATTTTTGACCCCAGTTAGCTACCATACAGCAGCCTGTGCAAAACAAAGCCAAACTAGGCAGGTTTTTATAAACTTGGTAAATCAGTCAATCAAATGAATTTTGTCAATGAGAGTCCACTTCACATTGAATTCAGCTTACAGGATCATAGCAGACCAAGTGCACCCCCTTCTTGTCTGAAGATACACTTAGAACTTCAGGTCAGCAGTGCAGGTTGCCAACAATGCAGACCAAAAACGGCACTGCCTCCTTTGTACCACACAATAATGAATTGCTAAGAAAGCTTTGATGATATTTGATACTCATTCATTTTGCAAATCCCTGACATGTTGTAAACACATGACGCTAAGGTGGGCTGTAGCTGCTCATGATTTGGACCTAAAAATTTATTTATGAATTATGATCATTTTTAAATAAATTAAATAATAAACACAAGGATGCCTTTGCCCCCTCAGCTATGGCTCTGGTTTGGCATTGTCAGCACATCTAAGTGAAGGCTCAACAGATGCTCAGTAAGTTCCATGTGCTACAAAGGACGGCAGACATACTACTGCTCCATCCCATATCTGTGGAAAGAATTTGTGGCTTTCACCCAAGAACATGCCTCTGTGTGTGGAAGCCAGAAAGTCTGCTCCGCACATTTGTAGGTTCATTAGCAGTCTTAAAAATCATTTATGCAGTTTATGTGAGACTCAAACACCCCAAACAAAGGGGGTGCAAGTGCACCCTATCTTTCATTTCAGTCACATTAAGCCTTTTAGGAATGGATGGAAGCTGCTGGCAAATTGGAGCAGAGGACATGGGCAGCAGTATTTCGTGGATTGGGGATTTATGGCCCTAAGGAGCACTCCTGGGTTGTGGTCTTATTCAGGGCTTTCATTGTAACCATCCTGATGAACCACCTGCAGCCAGCTGTGGAAAGATAGGTACTGTCACATCTCCTGGTTGATAAGTTAACTTTTTGTCACTTGGAGGCTGTATTTTCATGTATTCGGTTTCCTGTTTTATTTAGAAATGTACCCTTGTCTCCCATTTCAAGGGTGTTGATTTCCTGTTTCCTACTTAACCTGCTCCCCTGATTGCCCTAATGAGTCTCACCCCCATCTTGGGAACACCACTTTCCTGGTGTATTTCAGCTCAGTGTTCCCTCTCCTCTGTGTGTTTGACCAGTTTGATACTTTTGATTCTGATTTTTTTGCTCGAGGTTTTGGATACCTGTGCCTGTCAAATAGGCTTATTCACCAAGTGCATGACAAATCTATTATATTTAATTTTATTTATTAATCTTTGATGAAATCTGGCTGCCAGTGCTTAATGACAGGTTTGAGGTTTGTTTATTAATTATTATGAGACAGACATTTGCCGCTTTGCAAATCTGCACTTTCTCAAATTTGCGTTCGATGTGAGACCTGTCGTGAGATTTGATTGTATCATACGTTCAAGTCCAAATTGGTAAATGCCGATCCTTGCGTGGAAATGGTCGTACAGACCGTTTTCTGCTGTACATTCATTTGATAAATGAGGGCCACCATGTTTGATTCGAGATGGTTGTCATGGTGCCCACATAGCAACTGACAATACATGTATTGGTGGAACTTAGTGAGACAGATGTACTAAAAAAGGTGAGACGATGGTAAATTCTGGGTAAGTGGATCTCTAAAAAGCAATATCAAAGAGATACAGTACATTATGATGGTTTGTTCTCTGCTGAGAAGAGACCCTTCTGGTTACATTTTGGATTGGATCCAAAAAATCTCTACTTAAATTACTATGCAGGTTTTGGTTGTAAAATCACGTTACACATACATTCAGTCAATTACAGAACATGCAATTACAGAGCAATTTAAAAAATTGAATTGAATCAAATTAAATGCTGTTGTGAAGAAAAAAGACTCAACAATTTTCAACATATGGATGCTTGTTTTAGGAAAACATGATTTTGGTACATGGCTCTTAAGGGGGACTATTGTGTTATAACTGTCAGTATTTTTACAGACAAATGAATCCCATCAAAAAAAGAAGGATGTTCGGCGCATTCCCTCTTGGTCAGTCAGAGCATGTGCAAAAAAAGCCCATTGGTAATTGATGAGCCAAGTCTTATTTTTGGCCCTTAATCAAAAAACAATGATTTACACTTCACCTTGCAAAACACCTATCCAAGGCACAATCTCACATATATTTGGTGTCAGCTGCTGTCACCTCCGTACAATAGACATTAATAGACACAATGGGCAAGTTCCTCAGGAAAAGGAACACGTGAAGCCGCTCTCACACAGCGACACAGGCACACAAACATGAATATTTTAGTTTGCTTGAAAACGTGCAACCCTGTCCTCACCCATCCCCCCATCACAGGCCAAATAAGTCTTGGCCAAGCCTGGTTATAAGCATAGTAGTATGCCACACATGACAGAGGCAGAGCAGAAATGAAAGAAGAAAAAGGATTTGCACTCAAAGTAGATGGGGGAAATAACAGACTCTGATTTATATTCTACTGCCTCACATGGAGAAGAGAAGAAAAAAGCATCTTTATGTACAGGTTCATTTTGGCTGATCGACTAAACTCGAATCATGAAAATACCTGGAGACAAAGTGATACCTCTTATCTGTACAGGTAAATGTGATGACATGACATTTCTCATGCTGAGAAGTGATAAAACTCGCTGCACAGTAGCAACACTGTATATAAAAGAGATTAGTAATTCTACGGATGAGGAGAGGGCGGACTGCGCTGCTTGAAATAGCAACCAACCAATCAGAAAATAGTATTTTCTGTTGCTAGGTAAAAAAGCAGCACTGTAATCATAAACATGGTATACGTATATGTCTATGGCCATAATAACATCTTCCACATGCACATAAATGCTGCTGTAAGCTGTAACATTTAAGTCAATTTATATATTTCAGTTAAAGGTGGGGTAGGCAGGCTTTCGTGAAAGAAGCATCTTTTTTTGTGGTGTACCAAAAAAGCTTTTAATAACAGTCAATAGATATCGTTGTGACTTGATTGGTTGTAAGGCGAACGTTGCTCATTAGTGCTGATTGGTTCTGAGGCAGACGCTGCTCTCTCGTGTTGTGAGGTAAGCTCCATGTCCTTGAATAACATGCATGAGCCCAAACAAAGTTAGAGTGCTACAATATCAGACAGTAGACACGAAGTAAAATGAAGTAAATACCCGAGACTCTAGCGAAATAACGGGCGCTCTTATAGGGGTGGGAGAAAAAATCGACTCACACAAGTATTGTGATTTTTTTGTTTGTTTGCTTGTTTTTTCTTCAAATTTTGAATGCTTCATTTTAGTCTGTGTTAAGCCGGGTTGGAAAACGTTACTACTTTTCTCCAGCAGAGGGTGAAATGATCTTATTCAACTCAAAACAAAACAGTAAGATGAGAATGGCGAACAACTGGCAAAAAGGCACAGCAGCAGAGATAAAACCCTCACCATCACATTTTAAATCAAAACTGTGGGCACATTTCGGATTTTTTGTTTCCAAAGAAAAAGGAGAGCTGGACATGTCGAAAACTGTTTGTAGACTCTGTCATGCACTTGTCGCATACTGCGGAAACACATCCAATGTGACTGCTCACCCAGCAAAACACCACCCTGAGGTAAATGCAGAGCTAACTTTCAGACGTATCGCAGCAGAGGTATGTGATACCCTCCAGAAAGTATTTCTCTGAAACAGCAGTGCCTCAAACCTACAAGGACATTATGGAGAAAGTCAAAGAAAAAATCAGCAGAGCAGAGTGTGTTGCTCTCACCTGCAACGCATGGACTTCAAGGGTGACACAGTCTTATGTCACCATAACAGCCCATTACATCGCTGAAGACGGGTCTCTATCCTCCACGTCCTCCAGACCAGAGTCATTTATGAGTCTCATACTGGCTCAAATGTAGCAGAGCTGCTTTGTAATGTGGTGACTGAATGGGACATCGCAGAGAAGGACCCAGCTTTAGTGTCGGATAATGCTGCTAATATGGTTGTCGCCACGCAGTTAGCCAGCTTTCTCCATGTTAAGTGCAACGTGCACATGCTCAACCTGGCCTCTCAGCGTGCCCTAAAGCTGCTGGCTGTAGCAAGAATACTTGCACAAGTTCGGCGTGTGACTGGATTTTTCCACTAAAGTGCCACAGCAGTTCATGTTTTGAAGCAAAAGCAGAAGTTGCTGGAGCTCTCCACGCACAGTATCAACTAGATGGAACAGCGCGTATGATATGATCGAGCATTTCCTGGAACAGCAGCCAGCAGTCACGGCTGCACTGCTTCCCCCCGATGTACGAAAAATAGAGAAGGAGATTGGCAACTTCACTGAGTTGGACATCTCGAATGCAGAGGAGTTCATTCAGGCCCTGAAGCCAGTCAAGGTGGCTACAAATGTTATGTCAGATGAGAAAAACCCAACAGTCTCTGTCATAGCCCCACTCCATGCGCTTCTCCTGCAAGCCATCCAGGGAACCCTTGGAGATTCTCTGTTTGTCAGAGAGCTGAAAGAAGCCATCCACCAAGACCTAAGTAATAGTTACACATCAGAGGTTGAGAAGGCCACACTGAATCTAGCTTCAGCGCTAGATCCAAGGTTTAAAGTGCTGCCATTCCTGCCAGAGGAGGACAAACAAGAAACATTGTCAAGAATGGTCGTCAAAGCTGGGATAACGGAGGAAACAAAGATGTCCAGGGACCCCCATCTGCAAAAAGAAGAGTGTCCTGTGCGCTACATGAACTATTTGGAAACACTTTTGGGGAAACCAGCAGGCAGGCAGTGGCACCAGCACTTCCAGAGAAGTCAGCCTGTGACTGTGCAGCAGAGGAGGTGAAAGAGTACACCAGAGCTGCTCTTTTGCCACTGTCTGAAATCCCGTTAGAATGGTGGAAACAACATCATTGTGAGTACCCTCTCCTGGCCAAACTAGCCTAGAGGACCTTATGTGTTCCCCAGACAAGCATCTCTGCTGAGCGTGTCTTTTCCACAGCCGGAGACCTTGTCACTGCTCAGAGGAGCAGCCTCAACCAAGGCTGTTTGTTTCTGCGTAAGAATCTTGACATTCCTAAGTACCAGCTATCTTGATGGAGAGTATAGTTAAATCTAGGAGCAGAGTATTTGAAAAAGTATGTATTTTTGTCATTTTATTATACATTCAATTTACTACTTTTTATTGATCTGATTTAGATCAGATGAAATGTCCTACATTTCACACAAAGTTTAAGGCTCACATTTGAGTATTCAGGGGCACTATTTGACCTGAATTTGTTTTCTTAAAGCACTGACTGACAGGAACAGCTGAATAAGCTGAATAAATACTGGAATTGTATTATTTTTTTAATTGTGCAATGTGCACTTGTTTGCCCTTAGTTTTTTACATAAGGGTTTAAATGCACTTTATAATGGGGTACATTAAGTTATAGGCTCCTACAGTATTTGTGTGCAGATAAATGGTAAATTGTAGCAGTTTACCTCAGAAAGTCTATATATATCTCATTTTGTCAGAAAGGTTTCAGAAGCCTGTTTTTCCAAAGTCTTTTACTTTTGCCTCTTTTATGCCATCCAGGCTTTTGAAAAGAGAGTTAATATATTGCTGCTGAATAAATCTTAAAAACTGACTTACATGTGATGTGAATTTTTTGGGAAACGTGGTTCCTGGAATAGTTAGTCAACAATCATAATCATTCAACTTTTTCACTGGTGTTAAAAATGCAGACTAAAAATCAAGAAAATTGACAACATAGTAGAATTGCAATTTAAATCAAATCCTGGAGCGTGCCTCACAATACGAGGGAGCAGCGTCCGCCTCACAACCAATCAGGTTAGGGGAGGAGGAGAATGGCTTAGTTTCCAGTCAGGAAAAACAGGCCAATCAAAAATTTTAAAATGTTGACTACACAGACATAACAGAACACAGCGATATTGTGATATTCCCAAATGTCTTCAATAACTAATAGCTATTGATTGATATTAAAGGCTTTTTTGTATATACACCACAAAAAAGATGCTTCTTTAATGGAATCCTGCCTACCCCACCTCAAGGACTGTCTGTTTAAGTACCATCTTGCAAATCACACACAACATTTCTATAAAGCACTTTTTCAACTATTTTCTTCTCAAAATTTTTATCATGTCCAGGCAAAAGAACAGCTGAGAGCTTATCTATCTACCTTAGTGGGCATTATTTTAGATCATCTTGAGTCCATGGGACAGGTGTCTTTATTACATAATCTGTTTGTAAAACAATGTAAAAAATAACCTCAGGACTTTTTCTTCAGACTTGGAGAGGGATAAATATAACAGTTGAATAAAGGATTAATTAAGGATTAATAACACACAGACCTCAATAGATACCACATTGAATTTCCTTTTGGGATAAATAAAATTCTTCTTATAAAGTTCTTTAATGAGTACCTTGTGATCACTCACAATGCCACCTATGCTGTAATAACACTGCAACTTATGCAACCAGGAGATACACATCTACAAAACATTCAAGTGTCCTCCATCAGTACACTGCATGCAAGAATGTGGACCCCTGTGGTTCAGGCAAAGAAGCAGTCTGTCTTTTAGTCTTTAATGAAGGAAGGCATGATAAAAATCATGCAAATAAACTAGAAAAAACACTGCTGATGGAAAAACCCTCCAACCATTCGAATTACGTTGCTGATGCTTTGTTCTGAATTAAGTGTGTGTGTTTGAGTGATTGCAAATGTCTATTTCTGCATTATGAGCATACAACTAAGGCCCTGTCATACATACCGTCAGAGAGTGATCATAGGACCAACACATGCACATGAACATAAGTCAGTATATCATGACACACAGAAGATCACATCAGCGGTAACAGACGTCATAAATATTTGCTGAGGGTTTGAGTTCAGTTGAAAAAAGAACATGGCAGAGGTATTATTATTAGCATTATTAGCATGATTTATTAGTAATATTATAAGTTATTGTTTATTAGTTCTTATTATTAGTATTATCTATTCTTTATTTAGTTTAAGTATTGTCACAGTATTTGTAGAATGTGTACTGTGTTTCAGTGTTTCAGTAATGCTGCCTCTGGTATCTATCTATCTATCTATCTATCTATCTATCTATCTATCTATCTATCTATCAAATATGATCTCTTCAAGACTAGACTATGTTTAGAGACTGTCTTCAAAGTCCGTCTGTGGGTTGAGGTAAGTCCCTTAATGTTTTCACCAAGACCACAATTTCTGTTTGTTGGCAAAATTATTTCTCTCCACAGTGTGATCTGTAGTGTCCTGGTTACGAATACCTCCAGTTGTTGCATTTTTGAAATTTTGAAAATGATTTTTTTGTTACTCGAGCTTTGATGAGTCACCGCATTGTTACACTGATAGAGCAAAGAGCCATTCAGCAGCCTGACAGGTTGATAACATACTTCCAGAGTTCAAAACTCTTGGAGACTCATTTAGGCTGATTGGTCACAAGGAAGTCTATTTGTAATACGAAACACTGAAGTCTTTTCCTCAAATAGAGTAAGACCTGTGGTGGAATGTAAAAGGGAGCAAATGATCAGTTGGAATGTGCATGATAATCACATTGACATATTTTGCTTCTGGTATGTTGTCGACAAGAAAAAGTGAACAACAAGAGTAGTCAGAGAGCCTCGAGGAGAGAGCGTGGCATGCAATTAGCACAACACTGATCCTATTTGCTGGGCAGACTCCGTCAATGTCTACATTAAGACCACAACGTTGAAAGGTATATCAAATTCTTCTTTATTGTATAATTAACTACATTCACAGCGGCTATTCAGCCGCTTTGATGGATAGAAAGGTAGAGGTGGAAATAATTCCATGAGTGAAGGGGGAAAAAATTTGAGAAATTTTAAATGACCAGTCCTTACATTCAATATATTTTGCACCCTTTTCTGTGACGCCGTGACCACGATCTCATGATCACTTTTAATTAGTGTGTTCTGAATCATCAGTGAACTTGTTGGTTTAAGGAAAATGAAAATGGGTTCCTTTCTGGCCTATAGGTGTTCTTTTTACAAAAACATATATAATTGTGAATATTTACATGTAGGACTAATAGAACATTTAATTTGTAAATCTATTTCTATCAGATGATCTACGTTCTCACCCTCATCTATGGTCATGAGCTGCTGTGGGTAATAGCAGAAAGAATAACATTAGGAATGCAAGTGGCTGAAATGAGTTTCCTCTGAAGAGTTGCTCAGCTTTTGGGATAGGATTAGATAACTTGGACATCCAAAGGGTGCTCAGAGTAGAGCTGCTGCTTCATTGCATCAAAAGGAGTCAGCTGAGGTGGTTAAGGATGCCTCCTGGGCGCTGCTGGGGAGAAGGTGGTCAGGGTCGACTTGGTGATACTACTTAACCTTTGACCTGTTCCTGGATAAGCAGGAAAAATATGAAAGATGGGAAACACAATTAAATCAGTCAAGATATTAACAATTTAATATGAGTAATAAGTAATTACTCAAGTAAGTAATTAAGGAAATGACCTTTATTCAAAACTGGATTTAGTCATCAGGGGAATATGTTGTTGTTTCTGAAAGGGACACTAAATCCAGGAGCCGTGTAAAACATAAGTAAATTGAAAGGTGACACAACAGTTTAAAGCCCTAAAGGTTTTTTGTTGTTTGTTTGTTTGTTTTTAATGAACTTATTTGGTCTTTCTCAGGTCTGTCATTTTTAACACACAACATGTAGATGTGCTGAAGTCGTAGGAACTATCACATTCACTATCTTTTGATCATGAATTCAAGATACAATCACAATACTGAGTTCTTGAGTTATTACTCTTAAGTAATGAGTCCTAAATATAATATTCCTTCTTTTTTTTTTACCACATCAAAAATGAAGTTATTCATTCAGTAATAGCTTCAACACATGAAATGTGTTCATCATTCACCTTGATGTCATGTCAATGTTTTTTTGCTTTGGTGCAAGACAGATTTCAATTGAATAACACTAACTCCCCACTAATAGGGGAACATGGGGATTTAGTTGAGTTGGCAAGACTTGTCCTAACTAAGCACAATGATTGGTCAGATCTTGTGGTTTCCCGCCCACGGGTGGTGCCTTGAATGTGCTGTATGCTGAAACGCTGCTCTCACCCAGTGTTGAGTCTGAAGGGTCCCTGTCTACAGGGGTTGTGACTCTGAAGGCGCGAGCTACCAGGCGAGTAGCTGTCATTTGATGAGAAGCCACACCTTTTACCATTTGACCACTGGATTTCCAATTAACACTGGCCTTGGATTATCTTCAAAATAACACGCACATTTTTTTTTTAGTTTTTAGTTTTTAAATTTCTTTTGAATACACAAAAAACGTCTGAGATAATGGGGTCCCAGGCATCCAAGGGAGATGTAGCCACGGAGGCAAATGCTGCTGCTGCTGATTCTTCAGCTGTCAAATCCAATGGACAGGTATTCATGATTCATCCCATAGCCATCCCTTTGTTTTTAACGCTGGAGATGAGTAGAATATGAGAGATTGAAAGTACGCTCCTCTCTCCAAAACAAAATATGACATTTCAGTCAATGAAGAGTGGATTATTAAACTTAATGAGGAGGACATATTTGGAAGTCTGGTAGGGCGTTTTGGCATCGGTACCGACGGACTGGTAACAGAACATCAAAAAGACAACGTGGTGTCATTTGGATCGAAAGAATGAATTAGATGAAGTGAAACGCGTGTATGCAAATCTTTTTTTATTATTATTTTCTTAAGCTACCTCAAGCAGTTGGTTTTCGTGTATGACTGAGACCTAACCTAAATTCCGCAGACCGAGTTTGATAGTTTCAGGCTTAGGGGGAGGGGGACAGTTTGGACGCACGTAGGCAGTCTACCTCTCCTCCCTTCAACAAAAGCCTGGTCCCGTTTTCTCGTTATTCTCGATTTGGTAAATTTAATCTAGGGGGCTGCAAGCTCAATTTTCTCATTCATTTAGTAGTTTTGGCTGTCCTTGAGTGGTTGAAATAATTTTCAATTAGATTGATATCTTCTCCCACCAGTGAAGACAGATATTGACCCTGCTCAAGCAATGACTGTATTTTAACCTGAAATTTAAACCGTATTTATTGGATTATATTTTAAAAAAAAAATTAAACAAAAACAGAAGTGTGTTTCATTTCTCCATCAGTATGCTTAGCCTCGTCTTTGTTAAGTCAGTCTGTCTGGTACCTGAGGTCTGACGTCTATGAGGCGCTACCACCGCCTATTGCCAAATGTGGAAACTGCAAGGCGTCGCCTCAGCCTGTGACACGGTGGTTTATTCATGAGCATGTAGATAGCTTCAAAATTAATTACCAGCTTCTATTGGCCCACCCTTTATATTGTACATGGTCAGTGTGAAATATTTTTTTACTCAAATACAATGTTCTGGATTAAAGTGGATGTTGGGAAACATAACCTATTTTTATTTTTTATTTTTTTTTACAATCCTTTGTAGGAGAACGGACATGTGAAAACCAATGGTGATGTCTCTCCAAAGCCTGATGGGGATGCAACTGCAACCAATGGCTCTGCCGAGGCAGCCAGGGGTTCTGAGGCCAGTGAAGGAGGCGATGCTATTGAGCCGGCACCACCTGCAGATAAAGAGGAGGTCAAACCTGAAGGAGAGTCTACAGCTAAGGAGACACCTAAAAAGAAGAAAAAGAAGTTCTCCCTGAAGAAGACATTTAAACTCAAACTGAATATAAAGAAGGGCAAAAAGAGTGAAGCTGTGAAAGAAGAAGTTGCAACAACCACCACACCAGCTGAGGAGAAGCCTGCGGAAGAGGAGAAAAATAAGGAATCGAAGGAGGAGGTTCCTACTGCAGCTGAGACTCCAAATTCAGAGAAGGGGCTGGCTGAAGGGGAGGCCGCCAAGGAGGAGGCCAAAGAGGCTGTTGCACCTGGCCCTGAGAACAGCTCGACCCCCTCTGCCTCTGAAAAGAAAGAGTGATTGACCATTATCTCACAGAAAACGAAAGGAACTTTTTTCGTGCTAAAGAAAGTCTAACAGTGTATATTTTATACATACACACACATACATATGTATGTGTGCGTGCGTGAGTGTGTGTGTGTATGCATTCATGGGTAAATTGATATATGTTTATGTAAATACACATGTATATGAACATGAAATGTGCCACTTTTTGTTGTGATAAGACAGACAAAGATTCACTAGATCACCTCCCTGCTTACTGTTATGTTATATAGAACAAGTGGATGGGGAAGAATGATGACCAAGTATCTCTCCTTCAAAATCTGTAGCCCAGTTTGCTTCCATCCTAAAGAAATGGGCCTTGATAAGACACCAGAACACTGCCACCATCACTTTAAATGATTTTTAAAAGGAATACATTTCAAACCCAAATAAACAGACTTGCCACATTTTTACAGTCTGACAAGTTTTAAATGCTATTAGGTGCATTACAGAGAACCCTCTTACAGATTCAGAAAAGCTATTATTCGTTAAAGACAAAAGTAGAAAACTGTGATTATTATTTTACTATAAAAAAAGAGCACTCAGCTCGCTTTGTTCACTGCTGCAGTTTGATATGAAGCAGACATGTTTATCTATTGTGTGTAAGCCTGAATCTATTTTGTCTCTGTTAATATTGGATTGATTTCTGTTCTTTATTTTGCTTATGTTTCCAGATGTTACTGGTTTTATCGTAAAGTTGATAATGGTAAATAAATCTTGGTCTTCTGCCAATTTGTGTCTTCATGGTTATTTATACCTTTTTTGTTTCTTTAATGAGTTTTTAAAAAAAACCTGAAGGTCAATTTGTAAGAGGTTTATGGAAATGTTGTCACAAACGAGTCTAGAGCAGTGAAGAAAGGTTGAGGACAAACCAATTGTAACTGGCGTAATTAATTGATCATTGTCTAAATGATCATTTTACAGTAAAAAAGCCATTTCTGAGCATTTTTTTTATTTCAGTGATTTTTTTTTTCACCATTTTTTCTGATTGTTTCAGAAAGAAAAAACCTTAACATCTGTGTTAGATTTTAAGAGGAAGACTTAAAAGTAGTTTCACTCCTTTAGGTTACTCTTTGCCTTCGTTTGACAAGCTCTGGCAACATTCCTTGAAAATAAATAATTTCATCGGCTACTCTAAAAGTTTTTTATATAAATATATATAGAGAGTAAGATGGGGTGACAGATTATTCAGTGTGGGGGGCCTCTCAACACATCAGATATGTCATTCTCTTTCACAGTCTCCAGCATCTGAAGAAAAAGCATCTGATTGGTTAAGAGGTCATCTGACTCACCAGCACTACTATCTCTAGTGACCCCACGCCCTCTGCATCCTTTTTCCCTATTTATAATCCTGACTTAGTGGTTTCACATCTACTGTCTTCTTTTCACTTCAAGGGGTCAGAGGTCTTCGTGGTCAACTAATCACTCCAGCCGTGTCCTGGATAAACTCACCTGGTTCACAGTGATATTGTAAGTTGACTTGTAGGCAAAACTACACTCAAACCAAACTGATAAAGATGCCTAAAGGGAAAAGAAATGTAAACAATTTAAAGTGAATAATAATAAAAACTTTTTTTTTTTTTTTTTTAATACTTTATTAGGTCCGTAACATATAGCAATACAAATCAATTGCCATTTCATCAATGTTTCTTTTTCATCATTTATATCACTTTTTTACAGACATTTTGACCCTTTTTTTTTTTTTCTCACACAGAAATAAACTCAAACAGAGACGTAAAACATGACATTTCTACACAAAAACATGTTAATAAATAAAATAGAAAAAAAAATAAAAAATAGGCTTTGTTGTGTTTGTTTCAGCAATGAAAATTCAGTTTTTAGGCATACAGGTTATCCTTATTTGAAAGATAAGAGACCCATCTTTTCTCAAACAAAGTTTCCTTGCCATTAATTTTATATGTCACCTTTTCCATTAAATACATATTTTCCATTGTTTCCAGCCACCTATCCACCCTTGGGTGGTCCACACTTTTCCAACCTCTTGTAATTTGTTTGAGTGCAGTCATTCTCAGTATACAGAAGAGATAAAGATCTTGGCTCCTCAATCGTTTGGGACGTGTTCCTAGAATTATATTGTGATTTTCTAATTGAATATCTCTTCCAAATATTTGTTCTATAGTGTGTGAGACCTTCAGCCAGAAGCTTTGTACTTTGGAACATGTAAAAAATATATGGGTATGGTCAGCCTTATTCTCCCCACATTCCCTCCAACAATTAGAGTTTAATGTGTACTTTGATACGGACAGTGGTGTTTGGAAGTACCGTATATTCATCTTCCAGGCATATTCCTGCCAGAAGGGAGATCTTATGTGTTTGAAAATGTCCATGAAACTCTGATTCCACTCATTTCTTCCTATAGTAATTCTCAGCTCTTTATCCCATTTTTCCTTAATATTATCTAGATCTTCAACAAAGTTTTCCTGAAATATTTGATAAAGTTGTCCAATTGTGTTTTTGTAATCATGTCTTTGATGAGATTTTGTTACGTATCTCAGGATAGGGTGAAGGTTTCCAAGAGTTCTAATTTTAAGTTTATCTTTTAGGTAGCTTCTCACTTGCAGATATCTAAAAAAATGATTTCTAGGAAGACTGTATTGTTCTACTATATCTTCAAAAGAGACCATTCCTTGGTCATTATACATTTGAAAGAATCTCTGAAGACCTTTCCCTTCCCATATCTTAAAAACCTGATCTATTCTATTTGGAGTGAAATCTGAGTCGCATGACATTTCTCTCATACAGGTAGCTTCTTGTTCCTTGATTTTACACATTTTACAGATGGTTTTCCAACTCCTAAAAGTATTACGTATAGAGTAGTTGAGTGTTTTCATCTGTGCTTTATCATAAGGTGTAAAGATCAATGTGCTGAGTGACTCGACCAGACTCAATTCCATACGCTTCCATTTAGGGTTTCTCTTATTGTTCATCCATATCAGTATAGGTTTAATCTGTGCTGCATAGTAATAATGACACAGATTAGGTAAGGCCAACCCACCTCTGTCTTTGTTCTGTTGCAATAATTTTAATTTAACTCTTGGCTTCTTAGCGTCCCATATAAATTTTCTCAGCATTCCCTCCCAAGTATGGAAGCGTGTCGGTGATATATACAAAGGCAAGTTTTGGAATAAAAATAAGAAGCGTGGCAGAACATACATTTTTATAATCTTAATTCTTTCTAGGAGAGTCAGGGGTGTTATTTTCCATCTACTGAGATCTTGTTTCACAGCATTTTCCAAGGGCACATAGTTGCAATTATATAATTCGTCAAAATTGTTAGGTATGATTACTCCTAAATATTTCACTTTATTCTGATCCCATTTTATATTAAACTGTTTTTTAAATTCATTTTCCAGATGGCCCCCCACTAACATCGCTTCTGTTTTATTTAAATTTAGCTTGTAGCCAGACATAATACTATAGTTTGTTATTTCCTTTAATAAACTAGGCAGAGATTGGCGGATTTCTGTGAGGTATACAATGATATCATCTGCATACATTGCTAGTTTATGTTCTTCTCCCTTTACATTAACTCCCTTTATTTCATTATTTATCCTAATTTGTTCTGCTAAAGGTTCAATACATAAATTAAAAATTTGGGGTGATATGGGATCTCCTTGTTTTATTCCTCGTTTCAAATTGATGGTCTTAGATAGCATCCCATTAACTCTTACTCTTGCATTTGGTTCTTTATACATTCCTTCAATCAGTGTAATAAATGTTTTATGAAAGCCAAACTTCTCACATACTCCTAGTAAAAACGTCCAAGAGACTCTATCAAAAGCCTTTTCGGCATCTAAGCTTAATGTCAGCATCTGTTGTTTCATCATCACTGTTTGGTCTATAATATTGAGAGTACGCCTCAAATTATCACTTAAAAGACGGTCCTTGACAAATCCAGTTTGATCTGAATTAATTATATCTGGGAGTATGTGTGAGAGTCTATTGGCTATGATTGATGTGAATATCTTTTGATCAACATTTAAAAGAGATATCGGTCTGTAGGATGAGCAATTTGTCAAATCTTTTCCTTCTTTTGGTATTACAGTAATAATTGCAGAATTCCAGGTGTCTGGCCACACTCCTGTTTCTAAAATGTAATTAAAGACCCTGCCAAGGATAGGTAATAACAAAACTCTAAAACACTTAAAAAATTCATTTGTAAAGCCATCACTTCCAGGGCTTTTCCCAGTTTTGCTTTTCTGTATAACCTTTGTAATTTCGGCTTCTGTTATTGGTTTAACTAAATCTTTATTTTGTGTATCTGTTACTACAGGAAGGTTTAGAGGTGTTAGATACTCTTTAATATTTTGCATGCTCACATCTGCTTGTTCTGGAGTATAAAGGGTTTGATAATAGTCTCTGAAACATGCTGCTATATTTGATTTACCTCTCTGGGGCTCGTCATTTCCATCCTTAATAGTTACTATTGCACTTTTTTCTTTTTGTTTCTTTAATTTGGTTGCTAATATTTTCAATGCTTTTGGACTGTTATCGTAATAAGTCTGCCTACACAGCATAAGGTCCTTTTCAATTTCATGTATTTCTATAGTGTCTAAAGCTTTTTTCGCTGTTTTCAGTTGTCTGTATGTTTCTTTGTTCAAGTTTCTTTCATGCTGTTCCTGAAGTCTTTTTATTTCATTTTCCAAAAATTTTTTTTCTCTTTCCCTTTTCCTCTTTTGATGAGATGAGTATGCTATTATTTCACCCCTTATAGTTGCTTTTGCCGCTTCCCATAGAATAATAGGTGTCACTTCCTTATCATTTATCTCAAAAAAAGACTTCACACTTTGTTCCATCTTCACTTTGAAACTCTGATCCTCCAGCAGTGAGTTATTTAACCTCCATAATGTTTCCCCTTGTTCCCTTTTCAGGTTTATTTCCATTATAACTGGTGCATGATCTGTTATTGCTATGGGTAATATTTCACATTTTATGACCTTTGAAATCTCATTCTTAAAAATAAAAAAATAGTCTAATCTTGAGTAGACGTCATGAGCACCAGAGAAAAAAGTGAAAGCCTTTTCCTGGGGGTGTAAGCAGCGCCACACATCTACTAGCCCCAACTCGATTTGGGCTTTCTTCATTAACATTGCAGCTTGTTCTGCTTTATGTTTTATTTTGCTCTGTGTGTCCTTTTGATTCATAATTAAATTAAAATCTCCCCCCATTATGATCATACCCTTCCCTTCTGTCATTAATAATGTTAGGATTTTTTTCATTAAATCTGTTCCTTGTCCAGGTGGGTTATAAACATTGACGAGGGTTATGTATTGTTCTTCTATTTGACCAATTACCAGAACGTACCTCCCTTCCTTGTCTTTAATACATTTTTCACTATTAAACATAAGATTATTTTTAATTAGGACTGCCACACCCCTTTTAGCCGATGTAAAGGAGGAGGCGAAAACTTGGCTGGTTGCCAATTTCTCCAGTTTTACGTGTTCCACTTTATTAAGATGTGTTTCCTGTAGAAAAATAATTTCCCCTCCTTCCTTTTTAAGTTTTTGAAATACTCTCTTCCTTTTTATTGGATTATTTAAACCATTTGTATTCAAGGAAATTAGTTTAAGTTTTCCCATTATTCTTCTCTTGGATACCAGCTGCTTCATATTCAAAGCCTATAAACTGAAAAAATAACGCACGTATCGAAAACATAACACACACAAACAAAGGACCCAGATGTGCACTTCCAGGGTCTGTAACCTCTCTATGGTTACAAGAGATATTCCACATTAATATTGTTATGTGAAATAGGGAGCTTTCATAGAAAGACTCCTGCCCCATGGTAACCCATGAGGCCAATATGAGCTTTAACAGAGCCCATATTTGCATGGTGGGCTGCGTACAGGCGTATGTCCCTCCTCCGTCTCTTTAACTAAATTATTCACACACTTGAGGTGGAGTATTAAACAGAACCTAAAAAAAAAAAAAAAAAAGTACCCCAACATAAATACTTTTCCTTTTCTTTTCTTCTTTCCAAAGCATTTTCCCCCTTCCTAAGCAGAAAATAATAATAATAATAAAAAGAAATACCCCAAAATAAATACTTTTTTTTAGTTATTCACACACTTGGAGTAGAGTATTAAACCGAACCTAAAAAAAAAAAAAGTACCCCAGCATAAATACTTTTCCTTTTCTTTTCTTCTTTCCAAAGCATTTTCCCCCCTCCTAAGCACCCCCCACCCCTATAATTCCCAGTTCGTTTAGGGATCATTCATGATAAATAAAAATTAGATATGGCATAACTTAAATGAAAAAAAAAGAAGATGAAAAGAAAAGAGAGGGAAACTGAGACCCCATGCTTGATTGAAATCAGGCGTATTTAAGTCCCATTAAAACAGAAAAAGCATGGGGCAAGTATAGAGTAGGCTTAAAACCCGCTGATGAGAATAAAGTGGAGAAAGAAAAAGAGTCCTGTATTCTAGGCTAAATTCAGTCATTAACTTTCAAACCATACAAGTCTAGTGGCTGGGTACTGTCCTCCCATTCCTGTGTTGCTCCACTTAGGAGAAAGAGTGTGTTTACCTCTCCATTACGCATCCTGAGATGAGCATAAGGCCACCGTTCACTATAACTTCAAGTCCTTTTACAGTCCCCTCATAGCGTCTTCTAGTAGGGTCTCCAAAGTCTCTTCATCTCCGCCGCTCCTCTGGAAAGGTGCCGATTGTGCTCCTTCTTTGCGCAGTGTGCCATGCTTGCCACGGTGCGCTCCGACGCACGGCTCTGTGGAGATTAATCCCTTGGCCCGTAGTTGCGTCTCCGCATCCTCCGGTGTGTTGTAAATAATGAACGATCCTTCCTCTTCGAAGACCTTCAGTTTCGCCGGGTGTATTATGAAGGACTTAATCTTTTTTTCTTTCAGTTGTAGTCTTAGTGGGGCATATCTGCGTCTCTCTTTCTGTACCTTTTCAGGTAGGTCTCTGTCAAAATAAATGCGTTTACCTCCAGCTGTAATGTCTTTTTTCGCCCACGCTGTTTTTACCACTTTCTCTCGGGTGTTCCACGACAGAAAGCGGACAACAATAGACCGAGGTGCTGCATCTTCTCCCGTCGGCTTTTTGGCGAGGGAGCGGTGGGCTGCACAGATGTGGAATGTGTCGGCTGGTATCTTCAACTGTTCCACCAGTATTGATTTAACGAAACCCACCATATCCTGTTGTTCTATTCCTTCAATTACTTGAAAAATTCGGGCGTTAAATTGCCTTGATTTTTGTTCTTGATACTCCAGGCTTTGATTTATCTTCTTATGTTCCCGTAGGAGGTGTTTAAGTGCGTTGTTTATAGTCACCTCTCCTTCCTCCAACTGGTTGATTCTTTCCTCGGCTCCTGCGATCTTGTCCACCGCATTTCCCATCTCTGCCCGGACTTCTTTTACGTCCTTTTGAACTTGTTTAATCTCGGTCGCGAAAGACTCGACGTCCGTTCTGAGGCTCCCAATTTGTTTGATAAGATCTTCTTTGAGCCCTTTGATCTCTCCTTTGAGCTCCTGCATCATTGTTTGGATCGTAGCTTCGAGGCTACCCGTCGCCATTTCTTTGTTTGAAATGTTTGTCGCGTCTTTCTTCTTTGTTTTCTTTTTGGCAATATTGACTTTAGTGGCCGCACCAGATCGCAGATTCATCCCACATATACGTGTTATTTTAAGCCTACATAGATTCTCGTTTAAACTTAACTTTTAGAGACATTTGTGGAGATTTGTGAGGAGCATTCACGGTATCATGCTCGCCTGCCTGCTGCCAACCGGAATGCATCCTTTTTCCCTATTTATAATCCTGACTTAGTGGTTTCACATCTACTGTCTTCTTTTCACTTCAAGGGGTCAGAGGTCTTCGTGGTCAACTAATCACTCCAGCCGTGTCCTGGATAAACTCACCTGGTTCACAGTGATATTGTAAGTTGACTTGTAGGCAAAACTACACTCAAACCAAACTGATAAAGATGCCTAAAGGGAAAAGAAATGTAAACAATTTAAAGTGAATAATAATAAAAACTTGAGTATCTTTAAAACCAAGAAAGCCATTATGTTATAGTTGTGAAAATAATATTGTTTGAACTCTCAGCATCTGCTGGAAACTGGCAGTAGTCACAGTAAATGGTAGACTGTGCAGCATCTCTCATTCAACAACAACATCATGGTCTCTTATACTGACACCTACTGGCCAGAACATGGAAAACCATAAAGGAAAAGTCTTTTTCAATTTTTCTGGCACATTCTCAAAGAGCTGGAATGATTTATTGCCGGAATTATCAATTAATCTCAATTGATAATAACCGATTAGTCTTTTTGCACCCTTAATTGTAAATAATACCATGAAATTTGGCAGTAAATCACAGAAACTATCTACAATTTCTTAAAATTAAGTTTATGGCTCTTTTTGGGTGTTTTGAATTTGAAAGCACAGGGAATTAGACATTTTGGTGAATCACTAGTGAATATAAGATAAGATACTTCTTTATTAGTCCCACAAATGGAAATATGAGCAGACAATTATTACAATCAGTTCAATGTCAGTGTTTATTTTTGCCCAATGGACAAATTTAAAGGATTTTTGAGGAAAATGATAAAAAATGACAAAAATGTTAAAATATAGAGTAAAGGTAGTCACACAATAATAATCCGACGTAGTACATTCTAATTTGAAGTGTCTACTCTTTTGTGGCATTGCGTCTTTCTGTCTCTTCTATTATAAGTCTGTCCGTTGTGTCCTTAGGCAAGACACTTAACCCACCTTGCTCCCAGTGTGTGTCCTCCACTGGTGTATGATTGTGAGTGTTGTGTGGTGGTGGTCGGAGAGGCCGTCGGCGCAAAATGGCAGCCACGTTTCCGTCAGTCTACCCCAGGGAAGCTGTGACTACCAAGGTAGTTTACCACCACCGAAGTGTGACTGTGTGAGCGAATGAATGATGTATCCAATGTAAAGCGCTTTGAGGGTCTCTGATAAAGCGCTATATGAAATCTGATGCATTATTATTTATTATTATTATAAGAGACCATGGGGGCAATAAGCATAAGTTGCTAGGCATGCTGAAGGTCCTGGACACCAAGATAAAGGCTTGAATACAATTGTTATGCTAACTTAGACCTACACTGCAGGCCAAAAGTTTGGAAGCAAGGCCATTACAGGCCGAACAGTTAGGAGTAACTTCAAGTTTTTGTCCACAATGCTTTTTTTTTTTAATCCAGCATGAGTTATATGTACTTTGGGATGTATTTATTCCATGATCAGATGTTGCTTTCATGGAAATGCACCATTTTACTCCATTTACCTTAAGATATACATTGATGTTAACAGACCATTGCTAAATATATGTCAGCAAAAGATAGTAAGGGCTTAGTTTTAGGGTTGAAAACATTTGCAAGAGTCACAACTTCAGTGCAAAAGCAAAAAAAAAAAATCACAGTTGGATTATTCACTTTAACTTTTTGGCTTTTGAGAGTCTGCATACAAAAATCCTAATAAATCTCAACTGTGTTCAAACTACCGCAAAAATGGCTAGAAAGAAGCAACTGAGTAAAGAAACAAAAGTACAGATTTGTACATTGAGGAAAGAAGGATACACAGAAAGAGAAATTTCAAAACACCTAAAGGTGTTTAACGAAGGAGTCCGCTACACTCTGAAGAGACTAGAGGAACCTGGAAGTTATGATGATAGAAAAAGACCTGGATGAAAGAGAGTTACTACAAACTCTGGTTCAAACCAAAAGATGGTTTGGCCCCCTCAGTCTCCAGACCTTTCTCCAATTGAGCTTGTGCGGGATGAATTGGATCGATCAGTCAGAAAAACGCGTCCCACGAATCAGCAGTCTCTTTTTAATGAAATTAAGAAAGCTTGGAATGCAATCCCTGGAACATACCTTAAAAAACTATATACTATATGCCAAGCTTTTGTTAAAGCCAGAGGAGGTTACTTTAAAGAAACCAAAATCTAAGCAACAATAACTCAAATACCTAATAATTATAGTCAAAATGTCTTCTGATAAGTTACTCTTTACACAATAGTCATGTTTATTGTGTTGCAAATTATATTAATGAAACTATGATCTTTTTTTGTACAAATCTGATCTTGCTTCCAAACATTTGGCCTGTAGTGTACATGTGTGCTTTTTAAGGTTTCCATATAGCAGCCTTGAACTAAAAAACTGCTGATCGTAATCATTTTGAAAATAATTTACAAAATGAAAACAATAAGAGCTTTGAAGAGATTACTCAATTTTGTTGCCAGGGGTGTACATGTTAATAGCTCTGTGTTGAGTAATTTTGTATATATTTTTACAATAAATTCACACTGTTATTCATTATTCTACATTTATTCTTTTGTGTTATCCCATAAAAAGATTTAATTAAATATATATGTATATATATACATATATATATATATATATATATATATATATATACATACATATATACATATGAATAAATGTATGTATGGAGAGAGAAATTTTTCAGATTCTGCTTACTTCACACATTTCACAGCTTCCCAAGTTTTTGGGATACAGAGTTGTAGGTTAACAATATGAAATATTGGAGGGAATAAATGATGTAAATTATGCAGGAATAAATTAATAAGACATGATTATTTTTCCAACACAGGACATGAAAAGCACTTCAATCTTAATGACTTAAAACACAAACAACAGTTACTGAAATTGCCAATTTATTTTTACTTCAAGGTCACAGGCAACCAATATTTCCTGCTTAAAAATGTTTCCAACTTTGTTTCCACATAAGGAAAGAGGCAGAGTTCAGGGAAAGCCAATGCATGTTATCAGTTTTTCCTCCAATCTGGTTGTGGTGGCAGTTCAGGCTACAGAGTCAAGGGACCTGACATTATGCCTCAAGTTCAAAATCAAAGTACTGGGGGTCGAAGTAATGAATCCTTACATATCCGTCTTCTCCTCCACTGCTGTAGCTGTAAACGAAAACAAGAGTAAGAAGAAAGTTACACAGTGACACACACAAAGACTTAACATTTACTAAAACCACACATTGTATTTTGAAGATCTGATTGTTTCTCACCTTTTGCCGTCAGGATGGAATGCAACACAGTTAATTGGTCCGAAATGACCTTTAACTCTGCCAAACTCCTCTTCATATGCTGCATGGAAGAACCTGGTGATGAAGAATGGCAGGTTACAGCATAAACACCAAAGCCTGGAGCAGAATGTATATAAGGGTTCACACCAGAGGCCTGTACTACGAAGCTGGATAAACACCCAGGAGAACTCTGCCACAACTCGCTCAACTTCACCAGATCTCTGTAATCCCGACCAGCTATACTACGAGGCAAAATATCAACTCGATAACTGTATCCAATTGAGGCCAGTCTAGATCTGTGCACGCACACGTAAAGGGGGTGGGGTCAGCCCCTCCGAACCAATCTCCACAATGGAGAAGGCTGCGCGTTTCAGAAGAACAGAGCATTATTTAACACAAATACGAGCAGTACCACAACATAATAACGGCGAGGTGCAAGACTGCTGCAGCCGCTAGAAGTCGGAGGGACTGCTGCCAAAATTTTCCGATTGTGAAAAAGAGAACATGGGAGCAAATAAAAATAAATATAAATACATCCGTCAAAGTGGTTAGTAGGTTTATTGTTAGATTTCATTTGTACATATTTTAACATGTAAACAGGGATTTCCACACACTGCCATGGTGAGGAGCTTTTTTCTTTTTTCTCCATCATCTGATAGTCACATGTTATCATCTGCGGACACAATCAGGGTTAAAAAGAGTTTTCTAGACTGCTTCAGTAAATTCTAAATGATGACTGATATGCCGTATGAAACTGGAACTTGGAGCCTCACAAAAATTAGTGCCTTGCTTAGACTTCATGTTCCCTGAATACTGAGGCTGTCCAAGGAAAACGTAAATCAAACCGATTTGAACGATCACAAATATAACGCCCTCAGCAAAGCGCTCCTCTCACTATCTGTGCACTCTGTCAAAAGTGGGTGAGCCACTTTCCAAGAGATTCGAAAAGGTCAGTGGGCAGTCTTTTATACCCGCTGAGATCTTATCCTGAAACTTAACCTGCTCTGGTGCAGGTTTGGCTTTCCGCACAAGTTACTGGGACAACGGACTTGGATAAAAAGAAATCCACCTTCGTAGTACAGAAAACCCAGGAGTTATTCCAGGAGTTATCTCGCTAAAATCAAATCCAGCTTCGTATTACAGGCCTCAAGCCTAGTTTCCCTACACTGCTCCAAAAGACCAACAGATAGTTGGATTATAGCTTTCATAAGTACAATCATGCACTGAGAATGCATCCTGCTGCACTGAGAGAGAGGGGGGAGGAGTGAGAGAGAGCGCTATCTAATCACTCACTCACCAGTACTTAGGGCTACACAGCACTCTAACAGTCTGTTTTTGTCGTACATATTTCCCTGAGTGATGGGGAAAAGGTGTTTGTTTTTTTTAGTTTATACCCATTTCTAAAATCCAGCACAATCAGCAGAGCCCCTTGTTCTTCCTGCAAGTCAATGTGGTGTTAATGTCTTAAAACCTTATTAGCTTGTAGACCATGATACTTTTCCTGTACACCCATTAACTTGTGCATATTATGCTCCATCTAATCCTTAATATTCCCCCTTCCTCTAGTACAGTAGTCACATTTTTATTGTCTACTCTCTTTCAATAAGGGGGAACATTTTCTGCTGCTTTTGTAGAGCAAATTTGACAGCCTGGCAGCATTCTGGTCCTACTGTTTTTTCTGTACTCCGCTGTTGATGTGGCACCTGTGTACCTTGCCTAGGTACTCACAGGGATCAAACTGACTCTGGGGTGACACTCACTTGGGCCTGGTCTGGACTGCCAAATTGGGTTGGCAAAGTGACAAATGTATCAATGATCGAGGGTAACTGATATTTTCAAAGTGGGTATTTTAAGACATCTGGAATCAGCAAAGCTTTTCCTAACCTGGCCTCGAACTTGCCAATCCTTGTGGAGGTAGTTGTGACCTCCATGGCTTCCTGTCCACCTCCCATCACCACCTGCAGAACAAACACACATAAGTTTTAAGTTTTACATAAAGAACTATTTGTACACAGTTGTTTGATGATCAATCCTCAGTTATTTAAGAGACAGAACGTTTGCAGTTCCCACTTACATGATCCATAATTGGGGAGATGGCTGCAGAGTTGACAGGTCTTTCTGTCTTGAAGGTCTTTATATGATCCAGAGAAGTGCAGTCAAACAGCTTAGAGAAGAAAGGGCAGACAAAGCCATTGTGAACCAAAGCATGACATTATAGCAAGCAAGATAAGTCAGAGCTCAGCAATCACTATTTTGTGCACAAAAAGTAAAAAAAATTACATGATCACCCAACTAAATTAATGACTTGGCATAAACCTTTGGCCTCCAACAGACATTTGTGTGACTGCAACCCCATTTTTGTTGTCTGTGTCAGAGTGCCAGAGGAGCAGACAAGCTTCGTACCTTGGCAGTGTTGTCCTTTGAGGCACTGATGAACATAGTGAGATCCACGGACGTCTGAATGTCATTGATCTGCTTGGTATGCTCTTTAGCCTTCTTTAGGATTTCCCCAGACTGGCAATAATAACACATTAACAACATTTCAGTTAAAAACTATTATTTACATTTATGAAATATACGTACTCTGTTAAGCCAAGACGCTGGATATCTTTCAAAGGTCCAAATTTACAGTGTTTTATATTATATATAAAATAGTCTCAATAAATGCAATATGTATGAAAAAACTGCAGGCAAACTGACAGCATCTCTTTTTCGTCTGAGTACTACGAATATAGCAGTGTTATAAGAATTGTTTTTTTCATTTAAACAGAGTGTGTGTCTGTCTCACCTTTGCACTGAACTGATTGATCTCCCCATTCTCGTGACCAGCTATAACAAATTCCCCCAGAGGACCCCACACAGCACTGGTAATTTTGTAATCACTGCAAGGTAATGACAGGTAGGGCTGGTTGTCCTCTGCAGAGACAGAGACAGAGGAGGGATTGTTGTACCTCTGAAACTTGTTATATATATAGATCTATAGATATAGATATATATCTTTGGTCTACAACAAACTTTTTAGGGTTATCATCTTCCTGGTATAGAGTGAACATATCCGTTATATGTTGTGTGTTTGAGTGGGTTGGGATTTACCAATCTGCTGTGGATCCCTCAGATCGAAGAAGTTTAGAAAACACTGGTAACCCATTTGTTTGTCTGTAGAGAACATGATGATGTTGCCGCTGAAGTCAAATCCACATGTTCTGACTGCAGAGTTGGTGTTGAGCAGGGCCAGCTGTTTACCTGTGTGGTGCAGAGGAGCTGGGATTAGTGGAGGTCCCATCAAGCTAGGAAAAAACTTCTTAAGCCCCCAGAATTTCCCACTGACAGGGAAAACTGTTGAACCCACAACACAGAGACTTCAGTCTCACAATCAAACAAATGCTCACTCACCAGTCTCACAATCCCACAGCCGACAGCTGTTGTCTGCTGATCCCGTCAACACATTTTTGGTGTCCCCTAAATGAGGTCATATTGAGGATCCAAAAATATTTGATTGAAGATAACCTTATGTTTCATGAACACTGCGTAACACAGCATACATTTACACTGACACAAGTTTTGGAAGGATACAGTCACAGTCAACACACCACACCGCTCCTGTGTGTCCATTGTAGGTACCCAGCCTTTCACCATTGACAGAGTACCACACATTGGCTACCTACAATGGGACAAATGAAACAAACCCAACTCATGAACACAACACCAGCTTAGTGGAGGAACACAGAGATAATGTCAGCAGGTACTGAGTCCAAATATCAACTCACAGTGTCTTTTGCTACAGAGAACAGCAGATCTCCTTCTCTGTTGTACTTGATCTGTGTAATTGACCTCTCATGACCCTGAAGCAGGATGGGTTTCTGTGGACATTTTGAGACATTTTATCTGAACAGTTTTAAAAGTACAGTAAAACCTTCAACACCGTTAGAAGAAGCAGAAGGATGAATTTACTGCTAAATACTTGTTAAACCTTAACCCTAAACATGCTGAGGAGAGACCGGTTACTTTCATTTGTTATATTTACTCATTTCTCGCTGAAACATCTAAATGCGTATGACTGGTTTAAGCTAGGCTAATTTCAAAGCTAGTGACCGCTTCTTTACTGTTGTAGGGGAATATAACATGCTCTGTGAGAGCATATGTACCGTAGGAGACAGTAAGAACTACACATACCATTTTGGCAGCGAGGTGATATCACTCCGTCTATTTGATCTGTTTAATGGACCTTCCTTAAAGACAAAACGAATCAACACTCGTGTTCGAAGAGCCAAGACCCCGGCGGAAGAGGAAGATGGGCTTCTTCTTCTTCTTCTGGTTCCCGCCCTGATATCACGGTAATGTGTTACCGCCATCAACTGGACTGGAATGGCAGTGGGACTCTGCCCTAAAGTTAGTATGACCATATGGGTTTGACCCCCTAATGAATAACGAATAGTACCGATTTTAAGGCTTTAACGAGAGAAACGATTCACATAAATACACACAGTAAGGATTTACTATTGTGTATGAAAAACACACAAAGACGATGCCACTTAATTCGCGAGATGCCGTTGTTCGTCCAGTTTGATGAAGACACACTTGTGAAGCCCTAAACCTTGATTATGTTTTTTCCAAGTGATATTTCCGGAAGCTAACCATAAAGTCTTTTTTTTTCAGGCCCTATCTTCTGAAGGGACGCCATGAGCCGATGGCCTCTGGATCAGCTGTCACACAGCTGTTTGTGTTAGTAAATATTGGCACTTTAACTCGAGGTGTTTTGTGAGTGCAGTCTTAACAACTTGCTGGATGGCTGGTACACTAACCAGTATATTTCTTCATATTTATACCAAACATCCAATTGAGATCAGCATGATTCATGATTTTCACCCTTTGTCAGTGTTAGTTTGATGTTTAAGTTGTGTTTATTGGTTATTTTTACAAAACCCAATTCCACTTAAGTTGGGAAATTGTGATTAACGTAAATGAATGCAGAATACAATGATTTGTAAATTCTTTTCAACCTATATTCAATTGAATACACTACTAAGACAAGATATTTAATGTTCAAACTCATAAACTTTATTGATTTTTTGCAAATAATAATTAACTCAGAATTTCATGGCTGCAACACGTGCCAAAGTAGTTGGGACAGGGGCATGTTTACCACTGTGTTACATCAACTTTCCTTTTAACAACACTCAATAAACGTTTGGGAATTGAGGAGACTAATTGTTGAAGCTTTGAAGGTGGAATTCTTTTCCATTCTTGCTTGATGTACAGCTTCAATTGTTCAACAGTCCGGGGTCTCTGTTGCCGTATTTTACACTTCATAATGCGCCACACATTTTCAATGGGAGACAGGTCTGGACTGCAGGCAGGCCAGTCGAGTACCCGCACTCTTTTACTGTGAAGCCACACTGTTGTAACTCGTGCAGAATGTGGCTTGGCATTGTGTTGCTGAAATAAGCAGGGGCGTCCATGAAAAAGACGTTGCTTGGATGGCAGCATATGTTGCTCCAAAACCTGTATGTACCTTTCAGCATTAATGTTGCCTTCACAGATGTGTAAGTTACCCATGCCTTGGGCACTAATACACCCCCATACCATCATAGATGCTGGCTTTTGAACTTTGCGTTGATAACAGTCCGGATGGTTCTTTTCCTCTTTGGCCCGGAGGACATGACGTCCACTATTTCCAAAAACAATTTGAAATGTGGACTCGTCAGACCACAGAACACTTTTCCACTTTGCATCAGTCCATCTTAGATGAGCTCGGGCCCAGCGTCGTTTCTGGATGTTGTTGATAAATGGCTTTAGCTTTGCAACAGTTGAGTTTTAACGTGCACTTACAGATGTAGCAACAAACTGTATTTACTGACAGTGGTTTTCTGAAGTGCTCCTGAGCCCATGTGGTGAAATCTTTACACATTGATGTTGGTTTTTGATACAGTGCCACCTGAGGGATCAAAGGTCACGGGCATTCAATCTTGGTTTCTGGCTGTGCTGCTTATGTGCAGTGATTTCTCCAGATTCTCTGAACCTTTTGATAATATTATGGACCGTAGATGTTGAAATCTTTAAATTCCTTGCAATTGAACTTTGAGAAATGTTGTTCTTAAACTGTTCGACTATTTGCACATGCAGTTGTTCCCAAAGTGGTGAACCTCGCCCCATCCTTGCTTGTGAATGACTGAGAATTTTTTGGGGAAGCAGCTTTTATACCCAATCATCGCCCCCCCCTTTCTCAATTAGCCTGCTCACCTGTGGGATGTTCCAAATAGATGTTTGATGAGCATTCCTTTAAATTTCTTGGTATTTTTTGCAACCTTTCCAAACGTGATTGTCACATGTTGCTGCCATCAAATTCTAAAGTTCATGATTATTTGCAAAAAAAACCAAAGTTTATCAGTTTGAACATTAAATATGTTATATTTTTAGTGTATTCAATTGAATATGGGTTGAAAAGGATTTGCAAATCATTTTAGTCTGTTTTTATTTACAATTTACACATCTTCCCAACTTCATTTGAATTGGGTTTTGTATTTTGTGCTAGCCCACTCTGAGCCCTACAACGAATTCTTGCAAACAGAATATAGAAAACTTTCAATTGAAGTCTGCAATCTCTCCTGTAACCCCTGGCACAATCGAATGGATGTATACACTTGAAACAAATGCATATAGCTGAATTTCTTCTATTTTCAGATAAGATTTTATCTCTATGTACAAACATCTGAACAGCTCTGCCTTCTTCTCACCGGGCCTAGAATATAAGGAGATAACAGATCTTGAATCACTCACATCTCTTCAGAAATAATAACCGCTGGCCCTTTCTCACAAGCACACAATTTCACTGAACAAACTACTCGGATATTAACTGTTGCTTATTTTATTGAACAAGAAAAAAAATGATGCGGAAAAGAACAAAAATACCAAAGATGATAACTATGGAGACATCTTTGGTTCCTTCTCATGATCACTGAGCCTTTACATAAACCATGGGGACTGAGGAAGACATTAGGTTTCCCATCTATATCTGACACCTCCTCCCAAATGCTACATCCAAAGTACCCTATAGAAATGAGAGGAAAAACTGACATGTTTGGGGGAGACAATGTGAGTCAGAAGACCACTAACATATTTCAAAGGCGTCTGTAGCTCAATTAGCCTTAGTCATTTCCCCCTGTGAAATACACACAGGGAAATGCACAACTTTATGATCAATGTCAAACAGGAACTGAACAGCTAGTGTCAGAGTCCACATATGAGCAGGAGGATGCCTTGTCCGTTCATTCAATGCAGACATACAGGACAGTGGAAATAATGAACACACATTTTCAGTCAAGTGCTTGTCAGTTTAGCCTACCACAGAACAACACCATGAGTCAAGTATTGCATAGATTTCCTTGACATTCTCTAGATAATCCTGATTTGAAGCTACTGCTATTATTAGAGCTGGAATAAAGACAATCATGGTCATGTAAGCCACACTCACAAAAAAGTATCATTATAAGACTAGAAGAATAAAAATGTTATGAAAAAAAAAAAACAGCCAAGAGCACACAGAACAAAAAGGAATGAAAAAGTAGGCATGATGATTGGTCAAAGCTGCAACACGTTTCCGAGTTAAGACAAAAAAATTGCATATGTGTTTTTTTTAGTGGTGCTCTATAACATCCATATCCCAAAACTTGAGACAAATAATAAATGCAGCCCTCAATATAAGACACCATTCAAATCAGAGTCATTAAAATTTAACATGGAAACATTTCCACAAAATGCAAAACCCAAATCCAATCTGTTTTGAGTATCAGCTAATCAAATTTCCCCTGGGGATGAATAAGTTCTTCTTATCTTATCTTAAAGAATTAGCTTGACATTTGTGGAAGATTTCACTTGACAGAAAAATACCTGAAAAAGATTTATCAAGGTACTTTAGGTGCGAGGTCCACACACCGACACCAATGTTACATGAAAATGAGACAGTGAGGCTGCACTTCCACAAACCAGTCATCCTTTGTTGACATCCCAAGCAACACTGACATAGATTTTAACAGATGCTTGCAGCTATCATCTCAACACAGTGTAGGGTTAGATAAATTTACACTTATATTTGTGTATAATTATGTACATTATATTCTAATATCTCAAAACCAATTTTTTTTTTCTTTTTCTTTTCAATATTACAAAAACAGCAGCATGTGAAGCAATGGAGTCATTCTTCAACCAGTTGGATTATTTCTCTATTATCTTGAGAAAGTCACACCACAAAAAGGTGCCCATGTAAATGAACACAATTTACCCTCATATCATCAATTTAAGAACCTGCAAAGCAGTCGAACAAAACATGATTTAACCTGGCAGCATGATCTGCTTTTGCAATATATTGAGCATTCAATCCATCCTGGTAAGTAGTAGCAGTGGCATGTGGACTGTGATATTACTGTCTGCTGGCTTGATGCTGGAAAGGATGAGAACAGGCTGTGAGCAGCATTGCTTCATTACTGTGCAGCAATGGACTGAGCCTCGACCCCATCTAATGAACCATCTGTGTCCAGTTCTGGATCACCCTGGCAGGACTGGATGCAGGGGGGGAAATCTGGAACAAGGTTGCTAGTGGACTCAAGCAAAGAGTCTGTAGGTTGTGGTGAGGGTGAGTCTGTTCCTGGGTCAGAGGCAGAGGTACTCGCAGTGCCACTTTGCACATCCCCAAACTTCTGGACCTTCTTGTGAAGCTCGTTGCGTTCTACTTTGAGTGCACGTCGCAGCTTTTCAAGGCGTTGGACCTTGCCTTGAAGTGCTTCAAACTCACGGTCCCGTACAGATTTCTATACCAAATCACACACACAAAAAAAGTTTTATGTTTCAATAGGCCACGAGAGTCCTGATGATGGTGGACTTGAATCAAATTCTTCCAAACATGGCAGCTTCCAGACAAAAAAAAAGTATATACATATTTGGCCAGAGTAAGCAGATAACTAAAGCGGCTTTACCTCTTGTGCCATCTCTAGAAGAGCTTTGTTGCTGCTCTCCCATCTGGATCGATAAACAGCTGTCTCTTTTTCCAGCTTTTTGATCTTTTTGGTCATCTGTCACACAAAGAAAGTCAGATCGTCAGAGTGGCACGGACATGTAGGGTTGTAAACAGTAAGGGTGTGTTATGCTCTCAGGCTACATCTTAGTTTAAAACTATATAACCAAACATTGTATTAGTATTAAAAAAGTTTGAAAGGCAGGTAAGCGCATTAATAAGAGTGCGTTCAAAATCAGACATCAATCCTTATTGATGAAATGTGCATTATTTAAAGGACAGTTATGGCTGTGTGTAGGATTGTATGACTTCATGCTTCATCCAGCCTATAGGAGGCCTTTCTTCTTTATTTGGTTCAGTTCAAACAAACCAGTGCAGGCCAGATAAAACAATAATGTAACCTGGTTGCTACATTTGTGCACCCCAATCTTACACATCTTTTGGCTTAAGCTAAACAAACACAGACTAGAAGACTAGAAATCATGTCTAAAATCAAGTTTTCACTAGGATTTCAGGTTCAAGGGAAATCTTATTCATTCTGCCTTTAATTTACTTTATAGCAAATGTATTGGTGTGTCAAGTGACTGTACAGAAAGTAAATAAAAGTATATTAATACCAATCATTAATACCATTTTTGCTAAGAAATGTAGTCTTGCAGAGACAAGTTTTTATTTCTTGTACATAGAAATAAAGACTACATAGATCTTACCTTCTCCATTTCCTGTTTGAATGTGGTGAAAACCTCATTGCTCTTGGATAAAGTGGTCTGAAACTCTTCAAACTTCTCTGTATATAGTGATAGCTTAAAAAAGACAACACAAAAAAATGTTAATACATGTAGTATCAATGAATTTTCTATTTTTCACGTTCTAAAGACTGAAACCTACAGACTAAGTACAAATTTCAGATCATATTTGAATTCAGAGTACACAGCTAGTTATTATGTCAACTCTTAATTTGGTAATGTTACAACAGCTTCTCTAAAAAAAACTTTTAAGGTCTACTCATTTCAATAAAGTTTGTATAGAGTAAAGCTAATCAGAGTAGAGCTATAAAAGTGTCAAGGATGAGAAAAGACCTGCTGTTTGAGGTGAACTTCCTGCTGCTTCATCAGCTCACACATCCTCTGTGATTCTACAGCTTCGTTCAGCAGCTGCAACCAATGGAAAAAAGACAAATAATAAAAACGCCTTTTCTGAAAATATGTTAACAAAAATGCTGAGTTTTAAACATTTCTATATCGTCTACTTTAATAATTGAGTCAAGGTAAGGCTGATAGTTACAAAGTCTTTCTCTCTGTCATGGCGTTCCTCAGACTCCTTCAGCAGCTCCTGAGCCTGGTGCAACTTGGCATCCACAAGCTGTTGCTGAAGGTCTTTGTGTTTGACCACTTTGTCTATGTGCTGGTAAGGTCAGAGAGTCAGAGATTTCAAACATGCACGTTAACGAAGAGTAGAAATAACGGTTGATTGAAACAACTAGGGCATAAAGGTGGGTTCACAAAAACATGTGGCACTTCCAAGTATCACTTTAAAGTTCATAACATCAACCGGGGATACACAAATTATATCTGCTATATAACATTGTAACGCAGTTAGCTCAAATGTATGGCATTCCCTGTTCACTTTTCTGCTGAAGGCATGCTTTGGTTAGGGAACCTAAAGGCCATGGCATGTCCCACTTAAACAACTATACGAAGTCAAACAGCATCTTTAATGCTGCTTTCATGTCGCAGACCTAAGTGTGGACCACTCAAACAACTCCATTTTAAAAGTAAATATGATACATGCATTAGAGCTCTGATACAAAATACCTTCCTGACGACAGAAAAACCAACATCCTTCGCCAAAGTTTGCCAAACTTAGCAGAGCTGCTTTCACATGCAACATCACTGCGAACTGTGAAGGTAAAACTGCAGGGCTGCGCAGCTACAGGCATCTTTTCAGGCTCAGACATATGCCCCTTACTTTGACTTTGTTGCACAAGAGGACAAGAATGTAATAGTTGAGTATGACTCGTGTCTTGGTCAGATACAACTTTCTACTGCTGCAAACCTGAACTCAAATCTACATTGAACTCTACATGCTTAGACCTAAATGCTCAAGTAATTGTCTTCTACTGAGGTATAAGCAGTGTTCCTGTTTGTCCCTTAAACCTCTTCTGTTTCATCAACAGAACCCTCTGTTTTGCATGGATCGCCCACTTGCTGAGCAAAGGTACATGACCTGCTTGCGACGTGATGCACACTACCAGGGGCAGGTCTAAACTTCTTTTTTTTTTTTTTTTTTTTTTAATCACATGAATTCAGTGAATAAAACAGTTTGCATTTGTCACATGTCATCTACTGCGGTCCATCTTCTCAGTTTTATAATGCTGAGTTATATAATACCATATCTTCAAGAACAAACGAAAACAAAAAGAAAAGAAGAACAGAACTCACCTCTTCTCTTAGTTTGTACTGTTCATAAAGTTTCTTTAGTTTCTCAGCCAGCTCAGTGTTCTCTTGTCGAAGACTGGAGTTTCTCTCATTGTGCTGTTCCATCTGAGCCTGAATATCATTCAGTGTCACTTGGAAATGGGAGGTCACCTCTTTTCTTTTCTCCTCCTCTAATCGTGTTCGTTGCACTCCTTCCTCCTGCAGAAGGACAGAGTGGAAAGTTATTAGTGTTTATGAAAATGTGCAATGTAACACATGCATCTACCCCATACAGAAGGGTTCTCTGTTCTCTACTGTACGTCTACTGAAGTATGTCTCAAGCAAATTAATGAGCACTTAGCGGCTCTTTCATTGTATATCTACCTATAATCCTTACCAAGCCTCAAAACTAGTTTTCTTGTGGTACCTTGAGAGTGCGGTTGTGTCTCTGTAGCTCTCTGCAGAGACTTTCCAACTTGCTGCGAGCTAGGATGGCCTTGCTGTGTTCAGTTCTCAGGTTGTCTTTCTCCTGGACCAACTGGTTCTGTTTCTTTTGCAGCGCCCACATCTGCTTTTCAGTGTTGCGGTGCTCCTCCAACTGTCACACACAAAAGGTAAGATTTTGTTTTCTATATTTATGAAAAATGAAATGCCTTCTTAAACAAGACTCTTCTGAAGATGCACTGATGTACAGGCTTTTTTAATGCATGGGTGCATCCAGGCATTTGTGAATATAAAATAAATAAGGTTGTGAAATGCTGTCAGTGTTTCCCACGCATTGACAATACCACGGTATTTACAACCTGGTTGTTTTAAAGGGTGGTGTTGCACCTTTTACTCAGACTCTACTTTTCCTCTGATAGCTCTTCAACAGCTTCACATGGTTTTTAGATTTTAAATAAGGCCTCCTCTTTCACACTCTGGTGAATTAAAATATCATTATTTCAGCCTCAAGTGCTTCATTTAAGCTGCTTAACTTTACCATGTGTAAAAGAAGTTGAATGCATAAAGTTTGATATTTTTTGCCCTTGTCACAAGTGTACAAACAACATAAGGTAAACGGTAATAACATACAAAACTAAATATGAATACCATAGTCTAACTTGTATTTGATATGTTATGGAGGTTTATTTTAGTTAAAATTGGGCTTTGCATAAATCATCCTATTCCATTTATTAAAACTTTTAACACAGCCTCACAGCTTTAAGGAAATAAGGGTATCGAAAAAGTATGAAAGTACAAATTGTGGGTTTGCTAACACAAGTTTAGTACAACACAAAGCCTTGTGATTAAATCAAACACTTACCAATTCTGCATACTTTTTACAAAGGCCAGCAAGCTTCTCCTCTGGGGTGCTCAATGTATTTAAAGTTTGCATGAGAAGGGTGATCTCTTTGCCTGCAGCAAAATAAATAAATAAATAAATAAAAAAGAAAATAAAATAACTCATGGGACAGAAAACAACTACTATTTGATTTTTTTTTTCTACATACTTCACTGTCTTCTGGTAGCTTTATCAGCAAACTGCTTTTAAAATGTACCTTAAAGTTTCAAAAGAGATCACAGCAAGATTTTCTTACCCAGACCCTTTACTTTCCTCTTCTCCTGAGTCTTCTTTTGCTCCTTCTCTGACTCATTATTTTCCCCATTTACTTTGCCCTCCCCTGGTTTTTCATCCTCCTTCTCACTGGTTAGGCCATTGAGTTTTGGGCTATGAGACTGGCCATTGGGCAGGGTGGTGGCATCATCAGAGATGCTTTCGCGACAGTAGGTGCTGAGAATGTCCTCAAGTTGCCTGCTCAATTCCTCAGCCATGTCACAGTGAGACAGTGCTGCCACTGGATCTTCTGGGGGTAAATGGTAAAAAAAAAGTGTGTAAAGCACCTTTTAAGTGTCCCATCCACACTCATTTCTCACTTCTTCTTATTTCTTCTCACTTTGGAGGTTTGTTGTTTTCAATATAAACACAAAAACCAGAGAAGTGAACCGCATAGAGGCTGAATGCCAGTAGTTTATCAAGTTGGAAAAGTGACAAAGGTATGTCTCTGCCTTGATGGTCCTGGGAGACTAGTACAAACTCCAAAAACTCTTCTATCACAACTTTGCAGTTCTCTAACATCGTTTTGTTTATCTAGAATGAGACTGACATCATTAAACGCTTTCATTACACCCGTGGAGTTAGGTCAGAGGAACACTGACTGTCATACTGCTAAGAGGTCCTTCAACCCTCATCATAGGAGTTCTTAGAGCCGTTTTATGACTGAAATTAGCCTCAAAGCATCCATGCACTATCAAGAATATCATTCCAAACAGTCCTTATTGGCCTGACCATACTTGTATCACACCCACAGATGATCTGTGCATCAAGAATAATTCCACTCTAGGGGGAATATGAAATCGTTGATTTCGGTTAAAGCTCACTATAGATTACTTTTACTTTTTGTGCCAGACTACAGCTTATTGACAACACAACCCAAAGTTCATTTTTGTGAGTCTTGACTATTTGAAATACATCAAAATATTGTGGACCAAAGTGAGAGATATCGTGCTTCCCCTTGTAATATGGGCCCTAGGTTGCTTTTTTTGTCCCTTTCTTCAGTCTCCTTCTGATCAAGACATACACTGTCATATGACACACAACAGATATACTCTGATGTCTAATTTATGTTGTAAATAGTTAAACATTACCTTCACATCCCACCTCATCACCTTGTTGAGGTGTGTCTGTCTGTTCAGGCTCTTTGGACCCGTCACTATCCAAGCTGACTTTTCCAGTTGTAGGCGACCCTTCGTCCACCGCAGTGGGTTGCGCTTCCTCGCTGCTCTGGGGCGCAAATTCTTCTGTGTCTTGTTTTATCATCTTTAGAGTCTGTTGAAGTAAATACACCTGTTACCGGGTTCCTCGCTGGTTTTGCCAAATAATTCAATTTTCAAAATTAAAGGATTAGTAACTTTATTTTATTCTAATTTTTACAACAAAAAATTTTTTGTACTCTGAGTCCTTTGAGTGACTCACTGTGGTATGTGACTTCATTCAGGGTACAACTGCTATGATAAGCAGTCTCAAGACAATAGTATAAACTACAGGGGACTTTTCCTCTATTTTCACAGTAGTTTCCATGCTCAGAGCATGATCATCTTAATGATTCATCAATTCAGAAATTTCAATGTCATGCATTGCTTCTTAACTTGTTGATGTTTTGTGTTTTATAGTGGTTCTGGTGGGTTAATCCATACATATGGCTCTTCAGAGCTTGTGTTGCTTTCTATGGCCGGGAGACAATGTTAAACATGAAGACCGAAAGCCATGCGCGTCTCATACATACAGTGGATATAAAAAGTCTACACACCCCTGTTCAAGTGCCAGGTTTCTGTCATGTAAAAAAATTAAGGCTGTCAAAGTTAACGTGTTATTGTCGCGTTAACTCAAGTGACTTTTATCGCCACTAATTTTTTTGACGCACGATTAACGCAAGCCTTATCCTGGCTATGTGAGCCTCGGGGCACTCCGTAGTTTCGCGGATCAGGAAGTAGAGCACTGACTGATACCGCAGCAGACATAAACAAATCCCCGTGAGCAGTAACTAGGATATAATGGATAAGAACACGATTTTGAACAGAAAGTTCAGCTACAAAGCCTTGCCAGATGGCTCTCTTGACAGGACAAAAGTCATTTGTGTTTCCTGTCGAGCTGAATTTAGTTACCACCGGAGTACGTCTAGTCTCAAATATCACTTGTCGGCCAAGCACACAGCTGATGCAGAGAGCCCCGCCCGCCCGCCCGCCTCAAGCAAACAACGCTGAATGTGCAAGGTAAACAGATGGAGAGCTCTAATAAACGCAAACTTGAAACAGAAATCGCTAAATGGGTGGCTACCGCTTGTCGGCCGATTAGCATTGTGCAGGACGTTGGTCTGCGTGAAATCATACGGATCGCATCCAATGACTGGACATATGAATTACCTTGTAGGACCACCATTACCACGAAAATCCACGATCTGTTCTCATGTTGATTCTCATGTTGATAAAAGTATAACAATTTAAAAAAGATCGATTTAGAATGGATCAAAAATATGCGATCAATTTGCGATTAATCATGATTAATTATGATCACAATTCGATTAATCGCGATTAAATATTTTAATCGATTGACAGCCCTAAAAAAATGTAATCAAGATAAATAATTTCACAACTTCTTCCACCTTCAATGTGACCTATAACCTGTACAATACTAACACAAATCTTTCAGGGAGGTGAGATAAAAATAAAGAACTGAGATCATGTGGTTGCATGAGTGAGCAAACCCTTTAATAACTGGGGATGTGGCTGTGTTCAGATTTAACCAATAAATTGGAGTCAGCACACACCTGTCACCAATTAAAGTGCCTCTGATCAACCCCAAATAAAGCTCAGCTGTTCTAGTTGCTTTTCCTGACATTTTTGTAGCCACATCTTCCAGCACAAGCCATGGTCCACAGAGAGCTTATGAAGCATCAGAGGGATCTCATTTTTCAAAGATATCAGTCAGTTGAGGGCTACAAAAGCATTTCCAAGGAATTAAATATACCATGGAACACAGTAAAGACCGTGGAGAAAATATGGCACATTGGTGACATTACCAAGAACAGGACATCTGTCTAAAATTGATAAGACAAGAAGAAAACTGGGCAGGGAGGCTACCAAGAGGCTGACAGCAACACTGAAGGAGCTGCAGGAATTTCTGGCAAGTACTGGCTGTGTAGTACATGAGACAACAATCTCCCGCTGTCTTCATATGTCTGGGCTATGGGGTAGGGTGGCAAGACGAAAGCCTTATCTTACAAAGAAAAACATCAAAGCCCAGCTTGATTTTGCAAAAAGACATCTGAAATCTCCCTAATGCATGTGGGAAAATGAGTTATGGTCTGATGAAACCAAAGTTAAACTTTTTTGGCATCAGTGCAAAAGGTATATTTGTTGCAAAATCAACACTGCTCGTCATCAAAAGAACACCATACCTACAGTGAAGCATGGTCGTGGCAGCATCATGCTTTGGGGCTGTTTTTCTTCAGAATCCCATCGAACATTTGTGGGGTGATCTGAAGAGGGCGAGATGACCTCGCAATCTGTCAGATTTGGAGTGGTTTTGCAAAGAAGAGTGGGCAAATATTTCCACATCAAGATGTGCCATGCTGATAGACTCCTACCCAAAAAGAGTGTTGTAATAAAAGCCAAAGGTGCTGCAACGAAGTATTAGTTTAAGGCTGTGCATATTTATGCAACCAGGTTATTTTAACTTTTGTATTTTTATTTTTCCCCTTAAAGGTTTCAGTTTGTTTTTCAATTGCACTGTACAGGTTATAGGTCACATTGAAGGTGGGAAAAGTTGTGAAAATATTTATCTTGCCGTCAATTTCTTACATCACTAAAACCTGGCAGTTGAACAGGGGTGTGTAGACTTTTTATATCCACTGTAGGTACCAGAGGTAATCACACCCAGGCCTGTCCGATCCTACAGCAGTTTGGGTGCAGGCCAGCGGCAGACCGATGAGGAGGGGGGACACCGAGGCCACAGTACGGGGCAATCGGGACTGATGGGAGTGCGCACTTCATTGTACACGGGACAGGGAATAAACAACGTTGATAAGCTTAATTGTCTGTATCGGCTAAATCTTGTAAAAGCTAGTTTTGAACCCGTTATTCTGCAAGAAGAAACGAATGATCTCGACAAAAAGTACATGTATATCCAGAGATGAGGCACAATTGGATAACTTTTATGAAGGCCTGATACTTTGAAGTGAAATTATACTATTGGTTCGATTGAGCTGTGGCATTATTTGTAACAACATTAAAACACAATATAAGTGTCACTTTAGAAGAGGTGTTACTCATATTTACAAAAGGCTTGCTTCTAAGCAGTTTGATCTCTTCTGCTAAGTTGTCATTTACCGTCAGCCATCAGACATTCAGGTTGTGTTAGCTGACACGTGCTAACTCTCGATAGCCACTTAAAAAGACTGCGCAGTTACTTACTTTTCAATACAACCTCACGTAAACCGATCATTTAATCTAGAACTTGGCCGTAAAAACAAACTTATTTCAACAGACTTCACCATCTTGTCGGATATTGTCGTTTACCTTCAGCCCCGAGCAGTTACAACTTCGACGATATTTCCGGAAGAGCAGTGACCAATGTTTGGCTTCCTGTCTTCACTTTGAATTACACCACCGTTGACAAGAACCACAGAGATGGCATGGGGAACATCTCAAATGTCTCTGGCTGCGTCCACGTTTCCAAATTCGATCGATTGTCTTATTTTTTGTTTTTTTAAATTGTGTCTTCTTCTTCGTCGTCTTCTTCTTCAGGTTATTTTTCTTCTTCGTGTTTAATGGCGAATTACAATCCATAGCTGAAGGTATTTTCCTATTGTACTTACCGCCACCTACTGTACCGGAGTATTTAAATGGATTCTCTTTTAAAATTCCCCTTACACGGAAAAAAATGCCTCTCTTAAAATCTATTCGCACAGAAATTTACATATAACTTTAAATATTTTTAGTTATTTTATTAATTAGTTTTTCCTCTTTCCTTGATCATTCTAATATGTTTTCATTGTTGCACTCTGCTGTATGTTCCTCATTTGCACACTTGTCGCACATTTTGAGAGATATCCAACATTTGGTTTTCATGATTGCCTCACCCTTTCCTCTGAGTGTCTGTTGAGTGTTTAATATTGAGTGCTTGTCTAGCTATCCTAGCTGCCTTTTCATTTCCCTGTAATCCTGTATGCAAAGCTACCCAACAAAATTCTACTGTTATCCCAAGTATATGGATCCTGATTGACTGTTGTACTATTATATACATTGGATATTCTCTTGCTACAAGTTAAAAAGGAACAAGTCAGATAAACATACAGATAGTTTATCTGGGATTCTGTTGTCAAATGGAATCCAAATTGTGTGGTTGCCATCCCGTAGACAAAGCATCTACAGTGGATATAAAAAGTCTACACACCCCTGTTCAACTGCCAGGTTTTAGTGATGTTAGAAATTGACAGCGAGATAAATATTTTCACAACTTTTTCCACCTTCAATGTGACCTATAACCTGTACAATGCAATTGAAAAACACATTGAAACCTTAAAGGGGAAAAATAAAAATGGAAAAGTTTAAATAACCTGATTGCATGATTATGCACACCCTTAAACTTATACTTTGTTGCAGCACCTTTGGCTTTTATTACAGCACTCAGTCTTTTTGGGTAGGAGTCTATCAGAGTGGCACATCTTGATGAGGCAATATTTGCCCACTCTTCTTTGCAAAACCGCTCCAAATCTGACAGATTGCAAGGGCATCTCTTATGCACAGCCCTCTTCGGATTACCCCACAAACGTTTGATGGGATTCAGGTCTGGGCTCTGGCTGAGCCATTCCAAAGTCTCAATCTTACTCCGGTGAAGACATTCTTTTGTTGATTTAGATGTGTACTTTGAGTCATTGTCGCGCTGAAAGATGAAGTTCCTCTTCATCTTCAGCTTTCTAACAGAAGGCCGAAGGTTTTGTGCCAACACTGACTGGTATTTGGAACTGTTCATAATTCCCTCCACTCTGACTAAGGAACAAAAAAAGCTGAAGAAAAACAGCCCCAAAGCATGATGCTGCCACCACCATGCTTCACTGTAGGTATGGTGTTCATTTGGTGATGAGCAGTGTTGATTTTGCGCCATATACCTTTTGCAATGATGCCAAAAAAGTTCAACTTTGGTTTCATCAGACCATAACGCATTTTCCCACATGTATAATGGAGATTTCAGATGTCTTTTTGCAAAATCAAGCTGGGCTTTGATGTTTTTCTTTGTAAGATAAGGCTTCCGTCTTGCCACCCTACCCCATAGCCCAGACATATTAAGACAGCGGGAGATTGTTGTGGTCAATGGTATATTTAATTCCTTGGAAATTCTTTTCTAGCCCTCACCTGACTGATATCTTTGAAAAATGAGATCCCTCTGATGCTTCGGAAGCTCTCTGTGGACCATGGCTTGTGCTGGAAGATGTGGCTACAAAAATGTCAGGAAAAGCAACTAGAACAGCTGAGCTTTATTTGGGGTTGATCAGAGGCACTTTAATTGGTGACAGGTGTGTGCTGACTCCAATTTAACCTGAGTTTGAATATTATTGGTTAAATCTGAACACAGCCACACCCCCAGTTATTAAAGGGTGTGCTCACTTATGCAACCACATGATCTCAGTTGTTTATTTTTACTTCACCTTCCCTTAAAGATTTCTGTTTGTTTTTCAATTGTGTTGTACAGATTATAGGTTATAGGTTATAGGTCACATTAAAGGTGGAAGAAGTTGTGAAATGATTTATCTTGATTAAATTTTTTTACATGGCAAAAACCTGGCACTTGAACATGGGTGTGTAGACTTTTTATATCCACTGTATAATTAACTAGTGATCACATTAGTGCCTTTGATCTCAAAATGCATGTTTGTCTGCATTCCAGCTTATTCCTGATATATCTCTGGTTAGGTTTAAAAGTTTTTTTTACATTTTGTCTCTAGTTTTTCAGTGTGGGTTTTCCATGTATATTTGTCATGCATCCATAGTCCTACATACTTTAATTTTTTCACTTTCTCATTGATTACCCACAGTCTCTGGTCTATTATCCTCCCCTTGATTCACTAGTAAAAGCCCCCACTGTTCTAACAATAAAATGGCCTTCTTAATCATTTTCTTTTCTTTTCTTTTTTGCAGAACATTCTTCGAATTCCTCCCTCTCAACATCCCTCCCATGCAGCTCCATTATCCACATATAGGACAGTGAAATTAATAAAAATATAATTATTGTATTAAACAACACCTTTTTAAGGGTGAAAATGGACCATAATCTCAGCTGGAAACCCCAAATAAACTATGTTAGGTCAAAGCTGGCAAGGAGTATTGGCATTTTGGGTGAGACAAACCATAAAACAATATACTTATTATACAATATGCTTATTTTACCATATCTGACTTATTGCATAGAAGTCTGGGGAAATGCATACAAAAAGAATTTACAACCTATTTATATTATGCATAAGAGAGCAATGAGGATTGTTAACAAGGTAGGATTCTTCCTACATACTAATGAACTCTTTCTGAAATTAGGAGTATTAAAATTTGCAGATCTAGTTGAATTTAGAACTGCACAATGTACAAAGCTAGTAACAATCGACTCCCTAGTAATATACAGAAAATGTTTAGTGGAAGATAGGGAAGGTATGTATTAAGAGTAGAACACAATTTAAAACAACCAGGCATTTGTACAACACTAAAAAGCATGTGTCTTTCTGTTGCTGGGGGGAAGCTGTGGAACAGCTTGCCCGATTAACTTAAACAAAGCAAAACGATAGCACAGTTTAACAGTAAATTAAAGCAGAGTATGATTGAAAAATACATAAGTGATTTTCGTTTTGCCACACTTATCATATTGTATATGGGTATGGTACAAATGAGAGATTTAAGGTATTCTAGGTATATATATATATCAAGTGCATATTTGTTTATATATGTGTATGTAGATTTGAATGTATATGTGTATATACAAGGTCTTCGTTTTGCTATTAATGATTAGTTACATATGCATGTTAGACTTTGGAGCTTTGGTTACTTCTTGGCGACAGAAATTCTAAATTCAAAGACATGTAAAGGGTAAACAAATAGGAAGGAATGAGGGTAGGTACAAATAAGCTAAATATCTTTGACCTACTCCTTTCTGATCTCCAAAAAATAGGGAATTTCTTGTCTACAATTTTACTGTATGAATATTTGATTGAATAAACAATCTCGAAGTATTGGCCTGTTGTCCTCCTGAAATACTGTTACCTAAAGTGATCACCAGAGGTCCCCACATCCTGACAAATTATGGTCATTGCTGAAATTTCATAATCTGAGATGTGATCAAATTTAGGATCACTTTGAGAAAGACTTTAATGTGAAGTCCTGGGCAGGTCTCTCAGAAAAGTTTAGAGGAGGGGTGCTAATTGCCTGGCAGTCTAAGTGCCCCATGAAAAGAGGCTACAATCCTCATGGCAGCTGATCCTTTGCTGAATGTCACCTACTGTCTGCTCTTCACATTGACTGCCTTTTCAGCTGTCTGATCTCATTAAGGCCATGAAAAAAAAAAAAAGCCTACAGACGCAGCTTAAAAGAAAGAAAGTTTTGTTGCTCTAAATGATAAATGGTGGCCTAACAATAGTCCTTCAAGTAGGCCAGTGATGAAAGACAGATTTGCAGGAAAGAGTTGAAACATATCTTTATTAGTTTTGTGCAGTATTTCCACTGTACAAGGATTCATATATCTTTTCATTTTCAATATTGGTACTCTGTCCAGTATGTTTATTTTATATATATTTATATATATTTAAATTCCTTTTTTTTGTACCATGTTCATATGATGTGTAGAAGTTCAATGTCATAGTCATTCATACCGTCGGTAAAGTCAAGTCCAATCAGTTTATGTGTAATTTTTCAGTGAATGAAAGATCATGGCGTGTTATTTTTTCAGGAAATTAAGTCATTAACAAGAGAAGAGAAAATTATCATATGGAGTAGAAATGAGAGGACCAGAGCAGACACAGGACAGCGATGGCATATAAAAAGTATTTCATATACATTTAACACTGTAAACATTTGTAGCTTAGACATTATTTGACAAAGCAAGGCTTTAGATTTTGCTAAAGACATGAAAACCCCCCAAGGACGGAAGACAAGTCAGATTACAGATATTCAACGATGTCTGTTCATTTCTTCATTGATGATAGGTTTACAGATCAGGCATCCTTAGACAAACTTTAGGTCTGAGGTTCATTATCCAAAAATATAGGCCACAATTTCCTAAACAAAATAAAGACAGAAAATCAAGAAAAGTACTGGATGCTAGTATCCTTATCTGATTTTATTTCCTTTTTTATTCCCGTGGCATGTTCTAATAACGCTTTTTCTGCACTTCTCAGAAGTGATTTGAATTACATCTGAATCCCTGTCATTCTATCAAAACATACATTGTTCACATAGGTTAACACATGCTACTTTTCAATGTTAGTCACTGGATTATTTTTAAATCCCAGATTTTATCATAGAAAAATGAGTCATAGTTGCCTCTGTGAAACTCACCCCGTGGAAGGACTGTCACCTGACAGAGGGGTTTTAAGGCAGATCTTGTGGTGCCTTGTTTTAGATGATATTCACTACAGTTTTCTGGCTTTGCAAATTTTTCAATAAAGTACTGATAATTGATAAAAGATGTACTTGGTTTTGCAGCATCTTCTAAAAAGAAGAAAGTCTTGAATGGTCAGGCACAGTCTAAGAAAAATAAAACTTTTAATCAATAAATTCAACCAGCCTCATGATTAAAAATAAACAATTATCTGTTCTGACAGTCGTTTGTTTTTATTGTTTGCATCACGTAACACAAATAATATTTTTATTGGCACAGTTTCTTGACTGGCTATAGACCCTGATCTCAAGAAATGTTTAACATTTCAGTCTACTGAATGCACCAGAAGATCAAGTCTTTGATTCCAAAAGATTTGTTGCTTTGTTTTACACAGTTTAAATCAAGTGAAGACAGCAAGAGTGGGGGACATCACCATTAACGGGAAGCCCCGCCGATAGCCAAGAATAACTGTAGTAGGCCATCAAATTGGTTATTACCCCAGTGGGCAAACGGTGGTAGTTTAATTTCTTATCTCGATGTCCACAGTACTGAATGCCAGATTTTCCATAAAAGGATGGTGAGTAATGTTGCTTTACAGATAAGGGAAGAAGAGCAGCAATTATCTGCACAAAAAGTGTGCACATTCAAGTAAAAAAAAAAAAATCTAGAAATCTAACACAGACACAGAGGAACCTCCAGTCCTAGCAGTTAGTTGGCACTTCTGTGAATAAGAATGCATTTTCATTCCAGAAACACAATTCTTTCCTGGATGCACTGATTCTGTTTTTTATAATATTGCGACTCTAGCAGTGATGTTGAGGCAGGTACAGAACTGGCCATAAAAAAGCTTCAGTTTACATGCTGTACTACACACCGGTTAGGCAGAGGTTAAATTATATTGATTCATGATTAATGGTTTAAACTTTTATGCCCTTTAGAAGCACATATCTTTGGAAATCATTTCAGTCTCAATGTCATAGAAGCACCTTACACTGACATTGGAGACAAATGAAAAAAATATACAGCACTTTGTCATTTCATGTAAGAAGGAATTACCCTGGTAAGACAAAAAAAAAAAAGGAAAAAAGAAAAAAAAAAAGAATAAAAAGTGTTTTCCAGAGTGTGTACGACATGATCAAACTTTTGTTGAGATGTGTACTAGAATAGCAGAACTGGGAAGATTTCCTTCCCACTTCCTTTATCGGCTGGTTCAGTGACCCACAGAATGGGGGGGGTCTAGTTTAATCAAACTTTTCCTTACACTGACTATAAGTTGAACATTACATGGCCATAACTTTACCACTTCACAAAGCCTAAACCCTGCGCCAAAGCAGGCAGAGCGTTTCTGTGGTCAGGCTCTACAGAGCTAATTTAAACCACTGAAGACATGTGCCATGTGGCTTGAGCAAAAAAAAAGGTTTCATAAGCAGTACATGTGTGCTCAAATAACTTAAATTTATCTCTCTGTTCTTTGATATGAAACATAGAAAAAAAAGTTGAATAACTTTTAACCAAAGGCAACATTTTTTAAATAAAGAAAATATACAAAGTGCTTTACACACACACAAACACACACAAAAACATCAAATAAAAGAAATACTCCTTTTGTTCATTTGAAAGGCAGAGGAACAGAACCATATATTCTTGAAAGAGTAAGCAATATGTCTGCTGGTGCCGTATCCATGTGCGCATAGAGTGTGCATATGACATCTTCAACTCAAATATGACTTGTTTTAGATGCCAAATTCTGTTTAGGTTGTTGCAAAAGTCACAAAAAGAAAGAGCAGGAGCCTCGACTCAACAGGGCAGAGGGTATGCCACAGGCATTTACACTGAAACCTCAACCCGTCATAAAAGACTCTGATAGCTGTTATCACTAGTCCTTGAAAATATTGTCATACAAATCACCATTGGTGAGTAACACATTTGACCACCTTACAAAATACTATCTTGACCACTACATCATATTTTTCAACATCAACAAATTTACCACTTTTGGAAGGCTTCCTGCATTTCATCTCCTAATCCTTTAACATCAAAAACGCTGAGCAGCTATGCCTCAGAACTTTTCCACACTTTTCTCCATCCTTCTGTGCCAACTGTCTGTTTGTCCAGGAATACTCAGTGACTAAAAGCAAAGACATATAACATGATGCAAAAACCTCATGGCATACATCTAGAAGGGTTTTTTTGGGGGGGGCACAGTGTATAGCTAACCAGGAGCTACCTGTTTTTCATAGTAAAAATCTTTACTACAACTTTTGTCTCATGAAATTTTCTGGTTGTTTTGTACAACAGATGGTTTCATATCCAACTTTTGATCTAAGTAATACTGTGAATTCATTCTATATCAAAATTTAATTGGTTCACAGCTGGTGTAGCTTCCCCCTTCAATTCCCTACTATGCTCTTTTAATAGTTGATCACTTCTTAACTCAGATACATTGATGTTTAAACACAGCACCCTATGGAAAAAGAAACCACAACCATACCAATTCTCAAACCCTAACCTTTTACTATATATCATTAAAACCTCAACTATTTCCTAGGATTCCATCAGAAGCACTTCCCCTGGTCTTTCACTGTCAACAAAGAAACACTGATAGATCGGGGATCAATAGAATGCCTTTAAATTCATTAGGGAGACATCCATGTCTCTGTAAATGTAACAATTCTTTTGTATTGAAGTGCTATGCAAGCCAAGAGAAATAAAATGCACAAAAAAAGAGTAGTGAGGTGAAAGAAATAACTGTTAACCAGAAGGATAATGCTACAAGTTTTGTTTTTTTTCCATTAAATTGCTCTTGTTGAAACTGACATCATGAACTTCGCCATATTTCACCTCACCCTGAAGTCTTGGTATGGGGTATAAACTGGTGGTTCTAGAAATAGGAATGATCATTCGAAGTAAAATTTTGAGTGAATATAAAGACTGCAACAAAAAAATGCCTGACATGGCATTTAAAACCTATTCAACAGTAGGATTATGTCAGTGTGCGCATCTTATGACAGGGTGGACTCTGTTAGGACTGCAAAGGGATCACTCCTCTTTTAATTAGATCTATATGGCATGCTTTCCTAGGCCAAGGAACATAGGTGCCTGCATTTAGAGAAGCCAGTCCACTTGCAGTAAAGCAGAGAGGAAGGGAGTCAAGATTTGGTGCAAGGAAAAGTTGTTTTTCTCTGTGTGTGTGTGTGTGTGTGTGTGTGTGTGTGTGTGTGTGTGTGTGTGTGTGTGTGTGTGTGTGTGTGTGTGTGTGTGTGTGTGTGTGTGTGCGTGTGTGTGGTGGGGGGAACCTAAAGGAAAGGGGCATGAACGTATGACTGGGGATACCAGATGACGTGGACAGGTATAGAAGAGGTCCAAGTGTTTAAAGGGAGAGTGGACTTATAGCTGGAAACCCTCCATGGGTGCCTCCTGCTGGGGGAAGAGAAACTGCTGGTTGGATTGGTCAACCTGAGGTGCTAGACTGCTGTCCTCATCCTCGACCCCAAAGTAGTGCTCGATTAGATCAAAGGCCTTCTGGTATATCTCTTGATTGTCATGGCTCTGGAGGAACTCTATCTTGTCAAGGCCTGGAAAAAAAGAAACTAGATCACTACTTTCACTCTCTTTTATAAAACCCTGCATAAAAATAAATCACTGTCCGTGAGTCTTGAAACACTATGAAAAAGTATAAACCGTTTTATGCAGTTAATAAGCTTCAGGTTAGCTTTATTTCTAAACGCAAAAAACATATGCTTTCAAAGGTTCCAGAATACATGCATGTGCACTTGTTTACATGGACTTCTTTTACATTACCATATGCTTCTTCAATGAGGCTGCAGTAAGGATTAACACCACTGCCGTTGTTTTCTTGCTTGGCCTCTTGCTCCCCCAGCCGCAGGATATTCTCCAGTCCATTTAAAGCCACCTGGACGATCTTAGAGTCCATCACTGTCAGCAGATCACACAAGGGCTTAATGCAGCCCAAGTTCACTAGGTACCTATATCCAAACAGAGACAAGCACACATAAGATGATACTAGTACTAATTCAAGGTAACATCCACAGGCTGTTTTCATAAACAATTTAGTTGCTGAAAAGCAAGAATTTGAGCACTTGAGATTTTGATTAAGTATGATATTTATATGTGACTTGAATTACAGCGCAAATCCATAATTATTCATTGTTTCATTGAATGCAGGTAGTGGTGCTGTTACTTTGAAGTTGCATGTATCTTTGGAATATTCCAGAAACTCTTGGTTCGACTAACAGCAAACCCTTCTGCAGCGGGGAACGACGCACTCGGCGGCGGAGCACAAAATAAAACAATAAAACAAAAAATAAGCATCGCACAATGAAAATAAATTTTCAGCAGACCACCTGACATTTATTTACGTGGACGCTCTTCAGTCTCCCCGTCTCCAGTGGGTTGAGCAAATCCAAAGTAGTGAAAACACGGGGGGTGTTCTGAGACAGGCTGTTGCCTCTGAAACGGGGGTGCTCTGAAAACACCCCCATTAGCACTTGGTACGTTCCTCGTAAAGAAATTAATCATAAACTGTAAATTGACTCGAAAAAAAAAAAAAAAAAAATCGAGTCAACCAATCGGAATTTTGGTCAACTCTGCACGTATGGACCAATAAGTTGACCAGTCGACTAGGACTTTACAGCCCAAATATTCATACCATAAAACTTTGAATTAAGGTCACACAGGTATGTCAAACAGGGATGTCCCAATTAGGGATAGGAATCGAGAACCTGTTCTTGTTGAGAACCGGTTCCAAATGGTTCAATCCATCGACATCATTTACATTTTATCTTAAGGATTCCTTTCTTCTGGGTGCCTTGAAAAACGGTCTTGCGAGTGCCAGTCTACGCGAACAGGAACGGAGAAAAAAACATGGCAGACGGTACGAAAAGTAGGCAGAAAAAAGCTAAAGCGTGGCTTAATCTTACAAAGAAAGATGATAACAGTGCAACATTTGAGCAGTGATAGCATGCAAAGGTGGGAACATCAGCAACATTCTTAAACATTTGGCAGCGGTGCAGAGCATCAAATTTAAGGAGTCACATGTATTCGATGCTCTATCCCGGTCATCAGCTGCTGCTCTTTCTCAGCAAGGCATGGAAGGCACGCATGATAGGGTGACCATACGTCCTCTTTTACACGGATGTCTTCTTTTGGGGGGCTGTCTTGAGGGAGTTAATAAAATCCTTCAAATGTCCAGGACATGTATTCATTCATTATAAATCAGTGCAGCGCATCAGTGCTCTCTGCAGCTCTGCCCTTAAACTAACTTCTAAGCAAAGTCAATGATGCGACGCATACATGCACTGTCTTTGGGAATTCAGAATATGCATTTAACCCGGTTAGAAGCACATAAAATACACTCAACTCGACCCAAAAAACCCTAAAAAATTTGCGCATAAGTCCACCCTGCATAGTAGTACCCTCTTTTCGGGTATTCAGAATATGATCACTCTAACATATGTCCTGTGTTAACACAAGCACAATGCATGCATAACAACATGTATTATTTCTGTATTGTTTAATACTGACTGAAGTAAATGCTGTATAAATAGTTTGTTGTTTGATTATTTTTTAGTCTCCCACTGAAGGTGGCATACATCTTTTTCTGTTATCAGAGACTCAATAAAATTTTGAGTTAACAGTGAAAACTAGTCTACTTTTTTTTTTTAAATAAAAGAAAGGCATCGAAAAGGGAATCATTAAAGAACTGAATCAATAAGCAGAATCGATAATGGCATCAATATCGATAAATGTTCCCGAGTCCCAATCCGATATTGATATTGGATAACTGTCAGCATCAACAAAAAGACAAATATCAGATTACATTGGCCTGCATCTGAAATCTCAAATATCAGCACTCTGATGCAAACAGTCCATTCCAGACTCTGCTTCAGCACCTCTATCTAGCAGCACTCTGATCCAGCACACAGAGCCCATGTGATCACAACAACAGTGTGTACTAACAAAGTAGAAAGGAGTAGGAGTGATGTTGTCCTTGTGGCAGAATTTTGGTGCGAGTTCGAAAAAGATGGCAGCTGAGTGCAAAACTTGTCATGCATAAGTTTGTGCCAATAATAGATCTACATCAGCCAATACTGACGGCTACAACACTGGTATTGTATTGGAAGTATAAAAGTTGTATTGGGATACCCCTATCACAGTGGTTCTCAAGTCCAGTCCTCGAGGCCCACTGTCCTGCATGTTTTGGATGTTTCCCTCCTCCAACACACCTGATTCAAATGATCAGCTCGTTATTAAGCCATTACAGAGCTTGATAACGAGCTGATCATTTGAATCAGGTGTGTTGGAGCAGGGAAACATCCAAAACATGCAGGACAGTGGGCCTCGAGGACTGTACTTGAGAACCACTGCTCTATCAAATATAACACGTTTAGGGATGGGCAAGGAGAGGATATTATTGATACTGGTACTGCTCATCAATATAAATACTTCAGTACTCATAACAGTATTAGCCTCCATAATTTGGTGCCAATAAATAAAGTCATAGCATGACAATCTGCATTAAGAGATATGTTTTGTTCAAGATTTTAGATTATCACCACCACAAAATGCTACTTCCCTTCGAAGTCACATCCTGGAAAGACCCACTTTCATTTTTACACAGCCATTTCTGAGTGTTTTAACGTGCACCCTTATCTTAAGGGAGTTGATTCAGGATAATTTATCCTGCATCAATTAGCTCTTTAGTGAGGTGGCATCATTTACTAAGTGTTGCAGCTCTGACCTTATCTGTTCTGGTGTTCCTCCGGAGGTGGCATTCGTGATAGCCCAGGCTGCCTCTTTTCTTGTCCTGAACTCTGCCTTCTGTAGAATGTCAATGAGCACTGGAAAGATGTTTGCATCAATTACTGTCTGTAGAGAGAGATAACATTTAAAATCAGGGGCAGGTACATGGCATCTCCATTTATGCAACAAGTCTAATATTTGGCCAAACAGGTTAATATAAAGATGATACAGTCATTGAAAAACTAGCATTTGTCTAATCCTAGTTACCAATCACAAAACCTTTAGGCAAACTAATGCATATATCACACTGATAGATATTTAGCAACCATTAGCATGCAGTTGAGGTCATGTGGTCTCCTCTTTATTATTTAAGATGCACAACGGAACAAACGTATAAACCTCAAGGTCTAGCTAAACTGTAGTTTTATATTCTATGGCTGGTTTTGTTCAGCGCACAAACAATGAGGGAAAAAAAAAGATGGGAGGGTAGCTGGTAAATTCACAATAAACCATACTTACTATAGTATACCATACCACACCACACTATACCATACCATACTGTACTCAGTGTTTCCCCTAGCATTGCTGCTGTGTCCCTGGGGGGGGATTTACGTTCATGTTACGTTACCCACGCTACTCGCTCATTAGACTGTGTATAAGCTTGAACATCACCCTTCACATTGATGGAAGAGGGTCCGACAGGATTTGACACGCCCGTTGATGACTCGAAACAAGTCGAAAATAACGTCATGTGTTGTTGTGTACACACAGTGCGAGTAGAAACTAGTGGCGCATTGATATTAACGATCATGTAAAATTTCAGTAGTGGCACACGTAATTCAGAATGAATGCAGAGGAAACACTGATACCACAATATACTATACAAACATATATTTGATCTTTTTTATTCTGTGGGTTTTCAGTTGTTATTTAGTTAAGACATGCATTGTGAATATATCACCTGTATTTGGGCTCGGTTTCCTGCTGTAATGTTTGAGATGGTCCAGCATGCCTCTTTGCGAATGGATTCTTTCGCACTGCTGAGAAGGTGCAGCAGACAGGGTAATGCTGAACAGTTCAATACCACCTATGTAAAAAAACAAATGGGCAGAGGTAAAGAGGTGAAGGTAAGACGAAAAAGAATCCCATTCTGTATCAGTTTAAGTTTACATCAAAAGTCAGGAGTTATTGCAGGTTAGTCAGTCAATCTTGGAATTCATCCACTTTTATCTAATTCTGTATGTGCCCTGAACTAACAGTAGGTTAGTATGTAAACACTCATTTTGGTTAACTGATTAGGAATAGCTAGGCCAAGCCTTCCTATTCTTTAGCTAGCCAATGTGTACTGTTGGTCTGGCAACTTGAGGTAGAGTTGGAGCTGGGATGAGCAACAGCATTTACACCAGCTTGGAATCTAACCATAAATGCACATCTATTTATAGAGACTGATAAGACTCTAACTTATCACTCAAGTTGGCAAGTCGCTTCAAGAACTAGGTAGCGGCTAATGAGGTCTACGTCCTTTGCTCCAGACACTGTCTGCTTTTGAGCCTGCAGAAAAGTTTAGATAAAATGACAATGTTATATAGAATTTCATCTAGGGATCACTAAACATCTTCTTCTTCAATGAATACTAGGCAGAACAAAAACAGAAAACTTTGAATCTTAACCCCTGTTAACATACACACCTTTAAAGTTTTAAATACAGGACTCTTCTTTGCTGAGAATGAGCTTCAATACATCTACTTCTTACTGAAATCTGAATACTAATCTTATAAATCTTATTAATCTTGTTTTTTCTTCTAATTCCACTTCACCGAAACTTCAATTTCTGCATTTGAAAAGTATTCTCTACCCCAAGCTTGCTGGCTCACACCTACACCTCTTTTTTAGGTGGCCACTGTCTTTTCATGGGTGTGGATTTAGGCTAAATGCTGACTAGCAGGAGCATGCCTGTCAATTTTCTTCTCTTAACACTCACCTGTGTTTGAATGTCATCCCCAGTCACAATATTTCCTACAGCTCTCAAAGCAGGAGAGGCCACCCTATAGTCAGTGTGCCTGCAAAAAAGGATGTTGTGGAGAGAGCGAGAGCACAGTTTAAGTATAAAACACACTTGCCATATTGACGGTAACAAAGACAAAATAAAGTGTGGGGGGACTTACATAAGTAATTCCACAAGACGCCTGCAGACGCCAGAGTCAATAACAGCTTGGATCTTATCATTAGGGCCGTCTGAGAGGTAAGACAGGGCCCAGCAGGCATCTGCCAGCAAGTCTGGATCACTACTAAATAAAAGTCTGGACAGTACTGGCAGACATGGTGACACCTAGAAGGCAGTGATGTTACTCAGTAACACGAAACAGCATAAATTTGACATGTAAAGAGCTGAAGAACCAAAGATCCATTTCTCATATATTCTGCTTTTCCAAAAGTCAGACGTGTATTTGACTGTGTACATGTTTACAACTTTTGATCAACACATATTCAGCACTTGTTTGGACCAGTTTAGGCAGGAAATCTGAGCAAGGTCACCATACTTCCCTATGCAGCAAAATTCAGCATTTACAGGCTCCGTATGGGCAAAACCACTGGGTGAAATGAATCTTTGTTGTTTAGAATTGAGCACAATAGTTAAAATAAATGGTCACCCTTGCTTTCAGGGTGACAGTTAAAAAAATCTAGTTTAGTCGAAACAAATATAAGCTATATTCTGAACCTGATGAACTACCAAACAATTGTAGCCACTTTACTCTCTTTCACAACACTTGTCCACAGCTTCCTACACACACACATAAAAATCCTGATCACAAATCATCAAAACGTTTCATCATTGTGAATTTTTTAAATGGAAGTAAAACCTTTTCAAAAGAAGGTGGAGGGTTTTTTCCTCTACAGAGATTAGACAGAGCCCACACAGCGTTTCTTGTCATGGTCAATCTTGTGGATTTGGTCAAAAGCCTAAAAAGACACAGAAAAGCAAAACTTAGCTACAGTGACAGAACAAGAAATGTATCTTTTGACTAATCTAAAAAGGTATGTGTAGGAAAAATGTCTTTACAAAGACTATGAGCTTACGTCAACAGTGGAGGAAGAATGTGGCAGTTCAGCACATAGTCCCTACAAACTGAACTGTCCCCTGCAATATTACCTAAGGCCCAAACAGCCTGTGGAAAAACAAACACACATGCAAACTTGGCTACCAACCCATTTATTTAATACCAAACTATGAATGACAACAGACAATCAGATCAAGTTATTCGACAGACTATAAATTGTTATAATATTAACATAGAATAGAATTTCCCTTTGGGGGTCAATAAAGTTCTTCTTATCTTTTCTTAGACACACTGGATGGTATAAATATCTGGTGTACTACCTGTTCTTGGACATCCTCAAAATCAGAGTGAAGCAATCCTATAAAGACTGGCACCGCTCCAGCTTCAATCACCGTCTTTGTTTGCATGGATGTGCCTGATGCTATGTTGGTCAACGCCCAAGCTGCTTCAAACTACATGGGAATAAAGATTGTTTTTTTTTCACTCTTCATTTACACACAGAGTCCTTAAATAATTTGTTTTAAAGTTCATTTGAGGATCTCTTAAATATAGGCTCAGATATAACCCCCCCCCAAAAAAAAACATTCACACAAAAAATAATCAATCACATCTAAGTTTACTTCATTTGCCGTTCCGGCTTTAGAATTTTAAGTTATGCACAGCAGCAACATAGTTGACCAAACAGGGACTTGTGCAATGCAGAAGTACAATTTTGCTTTTGTAACAGTATGTGTACGGTAACTCAAAACAGTAGAACTACTTTGTTTCTGCGACTACCTGAATGGAAAACACCATCACCTGTCAATAAGACTACCATAACATGGCAGGAAATAGGGAACTAATGTTGGCTTGCTGCAAATAGTTTGACAAAGAAAAATATTGCCCTGCTCTGAAATAAAATGAGTTTTGTCCCTTAGTAGAGAAAACTGTCCAGGGTACTCTAACTTGAATGATAACATTTGTAAACCCTGAGTACATGTTTTCAGTTCAAAATGTGCTTTAAAATGTGCAAGACAGTGTTAATAAAAATTTACCTGTAGTGTGCAGTTGACACTCTTCTTTAAAAATTCCACAAACCTCTCCACCACTCCAGGTGTGTTTATGACTTCATCAATAGGTGGGTTGGGCTCTGTGATAGAAAACAAAGGAGACATAAACATTCCAAGTCCACGGTGTCTGTACAATTAGCATCACACTTTTATTAATACACATTTGATGCAATAGTAACTGCTTCATAGCTAGACATAAGAACAAAAGGTATGTCAGTATACCTTTGGAAAGAAGTTTCCGGAACTTTTGTGTTGTGGAAAGCTGAAGTTCAGGGTCCTCTGAGAAAAGCATCTCGACCATGTCTCTAGTTATAACCCCTTCCTGCAACGGCAAAAGTAACCTCATGACACTTGAGACTTGATACACTTTGCTCGACTCCTCCAAGCCCATAGGCTATAAAAAAAGAGGCTTATCATAAACAACTCCTGAAACTTGATAAAAACCACCTGGTTTCCTCGGATAAGCCTCTCATCTACATTGTGTGCATGGTGTAAGAAAAATAGAAACTCACAGTTACTGGAGAGCTAAGGTAGGGGTCTGCCGGAGAATTCTCCAACATTGTCTCCTCTTCGTTGACAACGTCCACATTCCTTCTCTTGAAAAGCTGGAAGTATGAAGCCCGCATAAACGTGAGAAGCAAAGACTGTTTGGCATTATATTGTCATATAGAGATCAACGATCTGTTGTCTGGGCTTGATAGATTTGTTGACGTACCTGCTGCTCTCGTTTTTGTTTCCTGAGTTGGATGCCTTCCTCCTCTCTCCTGCGCCTCATCTCGTCTGAGTTTAGTGCTTTGTTTTTGTATCGGTTCATCCTGTAGTTATCTTTGGCTGGACTTGCTGACGTCTCTGATAGTCCACAGATACAGGCAAAAAACATGGTTCATGGCAGAAGGTAAGAAACACAGTTTTGCAACACCAAATGCATTCAATCAAAACTTCAAAAGTATCCCATGCAATGTTTCCCATAAAATAAACAACTGGTTTTACTCTTGTTTTTCTCATCTGTATAAGATCACTAGTTATGCCTGGCTGGTTCCTACTGGACTCATTGTGGGCTGTCTCAGTCTAGGATCATTGCAAAATACTACAGCACTTACACTGGTCACTTTATGACAGCAGAAAATTGAGTAGAAGGTTACAAAAGGTGGGTTGTGCTATTGGGTGTCTTTATAAAATGTGCTGCTGATGAATACTTTCGTAAAAAGAAAAAACAGACCGAGAAGAAAGATGGAGGGACAGTTTGACATGCTGCTGTGTGTTTGAACAGAGGAAAGCTGCAAGCATCAAGGCCAAAGGAGGCTGAACTACAGACAAAATATCACATTTTTTTAGGTTATTATGTGTAAAAAAAAAATTAAGTTGATATCTCCACACTGACATTGGAGAATCCTATTATCCTATTTAGCAGTCAAAAGTTTTAGAACACCCCAGTTTTCCATTGAAATTCAAGCAGTTCAAGTCCAATGAACAGCTTGAAAGGGTACAAAGGTAAGAGGTGAACTGCCAGAGGTAAATTTAAAAAAAAGGTAAGGTTAACCAAAACTGAAAAATAATGTACATTTCAGAATTATACAAAAAGGCCTTTTTCAGGGAACAAGAAATGGGTTCACAACCTAAAGCAGTTCTGCAGCAATGGAGGTTGATCAAACCTTGAAAGTTGGTGCTATCAATTTATACAGGTGTCCCAACTTTTCTTGATCACTTAAGGCTAAAATATACAGGATCCGTATTGAGCGTGTATCGTCAGTGTTTCGTATCACGCAGCAAATAGGTTGCCATTCTAATAATAAAGCTTTGCATACATGACTCGTATCAGCTCCGTATCAGAAGTCTATCGAGCACAGCACTACCAAAGATACATGACAAGTCTATTTTTGCTGCTCTATGCTTCCGTTACGCGTCAATCTACACAGAGATGATCGTCCTAGACAGGAAGTCAAGCACGAAAAATGCGCATGTCATCCAGTATTTTTAAATAAGACACCATATGCGAACTCCCGACAGTGTATCAGTTTGTGTAGATGAGAAATACTTCCTGGTTACGGATTTATCAGTAACTCAGAACAATCCAATGGACAATCCCTGATCCAAAGGGACTTTTAACTGCTAACTCCGTCTGAAGGTAACGGCACAGCATAAAGGAACATAGTTTACTTTATTAAACACGAGTAAACCTGCAGAAAATGAAACTGTAAAATCACGTTGCTTTTTTTACATACAGTTCTCAATCCAGTCCTTGAGCATGACACATGAAGCTAACTGTAAACTATTTCAAGCCTACGAGACAAAATCAAGATGAAAGAAGTGAAAGTACACCACAGGTGGGATGCAAGCTTTCACCCGTGGAAATATCATACAATGTGCTGTTGGAAAACTTAATTAGTGAAACCAGGGCTTTAATTTACCAGACGGTTGTTTTTCCTTTGGGTTGTTTGTTACCAAAGCAACAGTCTGTAGCGGTCTAAAGTTGTAAACAAATGCCATGTGCAAAAAAAAACCTTCTGATTGTTAGTGTAATGACAGGGCACTGTCTACCTTATGTTTTATGTTTGTTTTGCATCTTTAAAAGTGCACAAATAAAATGTGACACTGAATTTAAAACAGCACATTGTAATTTCTGCATTTATTATCTATTTATGTGAGGAAATGTGAATTATTTGCCTTGCAAATCAAGTTACACTGTGCACCCCTACATTTTCTGCTTGTGCTCCTAAATTCTTTTGTTAGGGGTTAGTGTGCTCTTAGCAAAACAGGTTAGTCTGGAGCACTGTATGTGCAATAAATAACGCATAGTTCATAAACCTTAGTTTGACTAGATTATTTTGAATGCACTTATGAAACATCAAGGCTGTGGATAAAAGCCCGATGCCAGAGGACCTCAGGATCCACAAGAGTTGAAATGGTAAAAGCAGGTCAGATAAGTGTAAGAGGGCGCAAAGCCATTACTTAAAACTGGTGTAATGTACTCCCGCCCTCTGGTCCTCATCAGCACATGTGCGGCTGAGTTCTGTAATAATTGGAGGTTTAGAATACTCTTTTTGGGGAGACCAGAGAGCAGGGCATTACAGTAATCGAAGCGACAAGAGATAAAAGCATGCATCAGCACCTCCATACTGGCCTGAGAGAGAAATGGGTGGACTCTGGCTATGTTCTTAAGATGATAAAAACCTATTTTCATTATATTTTTGATATGTGGAATAAAATTCAGCTTGGAGTCAAAAATCACACTCAGATTTTTTACTGACTGCGCTGGCTTAAGATCTTGTAGTTTTGGTAAAAGTTTTCTTCCTCTGGCCTTCGGGACCTATAACTAAAACCTCAGTTTTGTCCTGGTAGAGCTGTTGGAAATTCACTGCCACCCATGACTTAATGTCTACAATGCAGTTAAAAAAACGGCATCAATGTCATCAGGAGACACTGCAATGTACAGTTGCATATCATCAGCGTAGCTACAGAAGCTGATGCCGTGTCTCCTGATGATTTCCCCAAGATAAGGCATGAACAGATTAAAAAGAAGTGGACCTAAAATTGATCCTTGGGGGAACCCCACATTCAATTTCATGGGTTTCTGAGGGACATGCATCCATACCTTTATAATAACATCGGTCTGTGAGATAAGAACAAAACCAGTTAAAAACAGTACCAGCGAGACTGACCAGGTGTCTGAGTCTATTTAATAAAATGTGATGGCCTACTGTGTGAAAAGTGGCGCTTAGATCCAGTAGAGCCAACACTGTGAGCTTTGTTATCCAAGTTCCACCTGATGTCGTTTAAAATCTGCAAAAGTGCTTTTTTAAAATTTTAACTAAAAATGCTAAATCGGATACGGGTCGGTAGTTATTAAAAAACGCTGGGGTCTGAATTGTTCTTCTTCAGCAGGGGCATCACCACTGCTGTTATAAGGGCGGCGGGGAAGACACCAGTCTGAAGAGAGCATTCATGATGTTCAGAAGCTGGTCCATTTACTTCAGTTCTCTATGCCGGGGGGATTACATGGAGACGTGTATATAACCCTCCGATTAGTTTGCCAACCTCCACAGTCACATGGGCAGTCCGGTTTTTTTGTGTATGGTATGTAAACATTATGATAACCGTGGTTGGCAAGCAGCAAAATGTGCTCCGTGTGTTTCAAACTCGTGCTAAAAAATCCTGGGAGTTGGTAGGCTCGTGGATGCAAACGCCAATAGGCAAATCTATATTTTGACATGATGAACAGAAACTGTTCCACGGCTGAAGGTGTACCCATCAACCCACGACGCAGCCGAGTTACAAAATAGCAGCCATTAGCTAAGTTTCAATCACTTGGTTTACATGAGACAAGCTGTTGATGCGGCTCAGTTTATCTTAGAAGTCATGGCATTTCAACAGATAACATTTACAATATCTTCCTGATATAAAACTGTTTGGTGACTGATAAAGTCGAAAGTAAACGCGCCTCTACCTAAAATTAAACAGTTACAAGCTCCCTAGCTAGTGAATTAGCTATGTAACGTTAGCAACGCACTACTACAGTACTTCATAATCATCACTACTGGCTGACCCAGCCGAATGTTTTCCCCATCTGAATGCACATTTATTCTATTGATTCATATCAGCTTACCCATCGTTTCCAGTGTGGGTTGACGAGTCGAGTTCTTTTAGATCGATTCCGCACGCTCTTGTAGCTTTGTAGAATTTGCTCCTGTAAGCAGTATGTCTTCTTCTTCTTCTTCTTTTAAATCGGCAGGCTTGGTGAGACGAAAGCGCATTGCTGCCCTCTATCGTTTGAAGTCACAATTTATTTGTTGTCCGTCTGGCAGGGCTTTTTGAACTAAGCTTGCCAAAGTTAAGGTCCTTACCATTAATATGTGTCTTGTCCTACCCAAAATACTAATACTCCTAGCCAGCTTCGACCTAACATAGTTCATTTGAGGTTTCCAGCTGAGATTATGGTCCATTTTCATCCCTAAAAAAGTACACTCATACACCCTTTCTATCTTAGTTTTATCAATACTCACTCCAACCTCTGTATTTGGTTGAATTGGTCTCTTTCCAAGCACTATGAACTTAGTCATCATGTCTTAGTCATGTTTAGAGAGAGTTTATTTTCATCAAACCATAGTTTCTGTTTACTCAACTCCCCTTAGTATTAAATTTCATTGCACTCATTTCTTTCATGGCTTTGTCTCTTTTTTATGCAGTTGTTATTTATAGAGCTTGAACCTCTTTGCTGTGTTTCACTCACCTTTTTTAGACTTTCAAGCCTGAACATATTTCATTGTATTGAATTATTTTGGTCTCAGTCGTGTTCTTTGCTTCTTGCGTTGCTTCGGTTCTTATGATGTTGGGTCTATATGTTGCTTGGGTTTTCCTGGTTCTGGGGGGTGCTCCGACTGTGGGGTCCTTGTGCTGATAATGTGCATGAATATGATAATAATAATAATAATAATAATAATAATAATAATAAGAAGAAGAAGAAGAAGAAGAAGAAGAAGAAGAAGAAGAAGAAGAAGAAGAATGATAATAATGTGAAATATCTCTTTATTTTGATTATCTAGTTTTACGAGCACACAGAGCAGTAACACAGTCTGAAAGCAGCACCAACATCGATGTTTATATGAACATAAATCATATCTGACATGATAGAAAATATGAAATAAATCACTGTTATCAATCAGACAATACTCTGTTTCTGGAGTCATGGAGAATCTTTATTACAACATGTCCAGATTATTTCTCTGCTCCTGTTCCACTCACTCTCTCGTTTCCTCTTATTTAGTCTCTTTGATTGGAGTTGAAGAACATTGGAGAACATCAAGGTTCAATTCATTTAACAATCAAACAGCACTCAGATGTACCTTTTTATTGGTAATTAGTGCTTCATAAATAAAGTGTATTTATAAAAAAATTTAACATTTTGACTGATTTTTGGAAACAGTATTAATGTTAGGACATGGTTTTCATTATGAACTTCTGCTTCCTGGCTCATGTAAAGTCACCTGGCAGCTGTGGTTGGGGAGTCTGTTTCTGCCTGTCTGACATGTTTAGACACACAGATGAACTAAACTGAAACTGAATTTATCAAATGAAGCTACGCTTTCCCTTAATCCTGCTTCATGAAATACCCCTCAAGATCTGTCAGCGTTTCTGTTTGTTTCATTAGAAGGTTGGTAGCACCATCTAGTGGTGTGATAGTTGTTAGAATAATGTGTATAAATGTATATAGAAGTTATCATTATTCCTCATATTCTTATGTAAGAGTTTATACTACAAGTATAAACTGCTTTGACATCTTTTTATACATTATATAAGAGTATTTTTATCATATAAGAGTGTTTCCTAACTTCTCTCTCCAATAGCTTTACTACACAGACATCAATGTTTCTTTCAGTTTTCTGTGACCGTGTTTTTCCTATCAGCAGGTGTGGGTGTGGGGGTGACGTATCCTCCGCTGATGAATCGTGGGAAGCTTTTGACAAGGATCCATCCTTATCAGAAGGAGCTCGTTAGATGCCGCCTTGACCTTCACATATTCACAAATTGTTCATTATTATGTTCTATGAAATGCTTACTTTGCTGCACATTTCCCCCCCCTTTTAGAAACATTGTGTAACCAGGGACAACCCTAAATAAAAGAGGCGGACAGAGAAAGTACCCTTAGAGTGGTATTGAGATAGCTAAAAAAAAGATCTCTGTCCATTCTCCTCGAGTATATTCCATTGTCTTTCTCCTTTTAATATATGTTTTCAGATATTTGGGCAGGTTTTTAGACCTAACAATATATCCTGTGATCTGTGTGAAATCTGCACTGACGAGGTTTCTGGTCAGACTGGTCAGTGTCTGTTAGCTGACCTGAGCTCACTTCAACAGGTGAGGATCGTTCCAGTGAAATCAGATCATGTCTGAGGATCAGGATCAGTGTGCTCACATAGTGCTGGGTCTCTGTTGAACTGCAGAAATCTTTCTCGATGTAGATTGGCTGTTTGAAACATGTTGTAGAATTTTTCTCTGAGTTTAAGAGCAGTGATTTCAGATGGATCCACCTGCTCTATAGTTGTTGTTTGTGGGGTCGACTCAGCAGTAGTGTGACAGCAGTTTGAGTCACACCATCAGGGAAAAATGCAGGGAATGTCAGAACTGGTCTGACAGCCTGGATCAACTTTGCTCAGGTGCTTTTATTTTGAAAGTGTTGATACTCTGAGGTGAAGGGTTCAGATGTCAGATCGCCTCCAACACTAGACTGACTTAGTTTTACTGGAGACCCTTTAGCAGGGTCAAGGTCTCAGTGGTCCCAGAGGTTTCAGATCCTTTTGGATGGACCGGAGCCAGCCCAAAGTTTAAGTGGACTCAGCGTTTGATTGAGACCCCTTAGCTATCACGGGCCCCTATGAGACACAAAATGAGCCATCCTATATCAATGTTTGATATTTGTCCAAATTCGAAAATTTAAGATTGAAACTAAGGTTTTTTTTTTTTAAATCAAACTAATCAAATATGTCAATTTGAAGAGAATTTTTTAGAATTGTACTTTTACTCGTTTTAACAATAGTGTTGATAGTGATAGATTATTGTGATGACCACAATGTATTTATGGGAAGGTGAGGGGGCTGTCACTCATTCTGGACCCATCAGATCCTGTTTGAGGCTCAGACGAGGTTTCTGTCAGTCCTGAATATTTGTGTCACATTATAGAGAGGAATTAGAACTGAAGTGTCCTGTGGTGTAAAGCTTGTTGTATTGACTGAGCAAGTTGTTGTGTTTGTGTGAAGGTGGGGGCTCTGCTATGAATCAGTGTGAGGACAGAGAGGAGGAAGCCCCTCCCTCTAAAACCACTCTGTGGGGGGAACATGAGAGCCAGACCAAAGCTCAGAGGTAAGATGAGGATCTCCAACTGTCCATGCATCTTCTCCATGTCAGAGCTCAGCACTCACATCACTCCACCATCACTATTATTCACACTTAAACCTCTGTCTGTTGTTCTGTCTGTCTGTCTGTCTGTCTGTCTGTCTGCCTGCCTGCCTGTCTGTCTGTCTGTCTGTCTGTCTGTCTGTCTGTCTGTCTGTCTGTTAAAGACCTGAACAGGGGAAAAGACCAGACTCTCCTGGACCTAGACCTGGACCTGGACCCAGCTGTGTGTCCTTAAAGAGTGACCGGTCTATGGACAGATCTCTTAATTTCAAAGTTTGACATCATTTTGATAATCAAAAGTAATAATCTATAACAGCATCACTCAAACCTGGAAGATTAAAAGAACCAGAGTTCTTGTTTCTTTATCAGTGTTTGTGTTTCTTTCAGAGTCAAACATGAGAGACCAGACTCTCCTGGACCTGGACCTGGCTGTATGTCCTCAAAGAGTGATCAGTCTATGTCTGACCATCTTAATTTTGAAGGAGAGATTTGTAAGCAAAGCTGAGCCTTTCAAACAGAACTTTCTTTTGTTGTGTGTGAAACTTTTCATCCTGACTGTGGTCAGTGTTTTTTCTGTGAGGGTGAAGATTTTTCAGGCTTTGTGTTTCTATCAGGATCCGACAGCAGTAAACAGGACCGCTCCTCTCCTCGCCTTTAAATCCGCCACCGGCGAGCCGTATTACAATTTTCGTGAAGTACTCAAAGAGACCAAGAGATGTCTGAAGACAGCAATGCCACACGATGGCGACAGAAGGCAGCCCCTCAACAAGTGTCACTGTAAGCGCTGCAGAGGGCGTCCTCCACACTGTCTCATATGAGCACAGATGGATTTGGTGTGTGTAATGTTGGACCCACTGGTAAGACAAACACCCTTTTCCACAAATAAAGACACTCATATAAAGTTGCATATATTCAAACCTCACGTGACAAAGGTGGGTTGAGCGCACAGATCACAACATAAACTCCAAAAATGGCATTAAAATCGGAACCATTTGTGCGTAATAATGTATCGGGCCCCGTGGCCTGGCTCTTTCTTTTATAGATGTTGGCATATAAAATAAATTTGGCCCACAAAACTGAATATTATAATATTTGTATGTGGGCTTAAAGTAAATAACTGATCTGATCACTGAAACAAATCATCTGTTCAGCTGCAGCAGGACAGGGAGAGGACATGGATCCTCAGCCCAGCTTGGTGGACCTCGGTGCGCCTCAGTCCACGGAAAAACCAAACCAGCTAAATGCCGGGCTCCGCCAGTCGAAAATACCACTGCTACGCCACCCTCTGCCGTGTCACTGGCGGACACGAAAATAGAGCCCCAGGTTTGAATCGGCGAGCTTTCAGCGCACTTTATATGCCACTGGGGAGCATGAAAATGTCACTGCGCCAGCTGATTCTGTCGACACCTCCCCCTGCCGTGCCACCACGCCCAGCTTGTCGGACCTCGGTGTGCCTCAGTCTACGAAAATACCAAACTGGCTATACGCCAGGCTCCGCCAGACGAAAATACCACCACGCTGTGTTGCCAGTGGACACGGAAATAGAGCCCCCTGTGTCTTCTTATATTATATCCACTACATTAGATTCTGTTTGTTCCACAGAGTTCAGCAGCAGAGATCAGAGGTTCCCATTGGTCAGTCTGCCCAGCAGCATCAAACACAGCATATTTAAGGTACGTGTAAATGTACAAACACAGCTCCTACTGATCATCAGAGCAGACACTCAGTATATTTGGAGGTTTTTGGATTGTTTCCTAATGACACTGCAAACATCATCTCTGCCTGAGTTATCTTTGACTGTTTGAATGAAGCCGCACATTTTTAACTTGCACAGAGGCAGAGGTCAGAGGTCATGGCGGATGATGTCCTCACACAGACACAGGCTGTGTCTTATTTCAGAGACCGCACCGTCGAACGGCGCATTTGAAGTGTGCGTGATGTCATCACGCGGCGCGAACGGTGTCTCATTTGCCTCGAAATGCTGAGCACGCCTCAAATTCGGTCTCAAAACCACACTACCCCTGCCCGTTTTTGAAGCGTGCATTTATGCACGTTTTCGTGGCCTTGGTATCCCACAATTCTTTGCGTGCCGCTGCACAGCTGCACATTCCGGGTGAGAGGCTGGACTCGCTTGGAGACGCAGCGCGTCTTCAAAGAAAATAAAAGAAATCCAAAAACAGCAAACAGTCAGTTCAGGCTGTATGAGAGCATGATCTCTTCGCTCACTAAAATCCCTAAACCAAACATGATAAACTGATCCGCTCTGCTTCAACAATCAGAAACATTAGAAATAAGAAAGCTGACAAAACTACAGCAGAGGATCAGGCACACATCGAGTTTTTTTTTTTTTTTTTTAAGACTTAGAAATTAAAGTTGTAAAGTTAGGAGAGTTTTTGTGATTTCTGAAGAAACAATCCAACTGATGATGATCAACATTTGTGATCCAGAGGGAGTCGAGCTCCGACGAGCACCACGTCTCTGACACCGGCGGTAACCTACACCTGCAGAGACACCAACGCCTTATTATGGCATATGGATTCATATCATAAACTAAAGCTCAATGTCATTCACTGATATTTACGGCTGCATAAACGGATATATCCTCAGCATATTCATTTCTGCCTCCACAAAAGCAGCAATTTCCTCCAAGTACACCTGTTTTTTTCCCTGTGGAAAAGACGCATTTCTCATATGTTCTTTTTTAAGTCTTTATACTTATGACAATGTGATGCTGATGTGCCAAAGGATGAAGTTTCTCTTTGTTTGTGAAACCTGTACTGAAGCACAGTTCCTTCAAATGCTTCATGGCCCTAATTTTAACAACTCTCCTTTGAAATAACAGGTATCGTTACAACTTTATTCTAATAAATGAATGACTTTATTCTCGTAAATTCAAGACTTAAAGTATTTTAAAAAAAGCAGAAGCAGCATTGTGATCCAGTCTCCATGCTGCACTCTGCAGACCAGCAGGCTCTCTGTCTGTCACAGATGATCTGATGTTTAGTTCGTACAAGTTCAAGTTCACATTTTATTCTGTTCCAGCTGCTCCAGGAAAACATGGTCAGCTTTGTAAAGGAGCAGCTGAAAGACATCCAGAGAGCTCTGAGTCCAGATGAGCTAGCATGCTTAGTGAGTCTGAGGGAGGATGAGGATGAAGAGCAGAGAGACATTTCTGAAGATCACTGTGAACTTCCTGAGGAGAATGAGGATTTGAAGAGATTTAACATGATGAAAAGAGGAAATAGAGACAATATGGGAGAGGTTGACAGTTCAGACTCTGCTGTTCATATGATGCATTTGATTCACATCTATGAACTGAGAGAAACTGATCAGAGTGGATGAGCTGAAGAGATTTCAGAGAGGAGGGAAATCAAATCCATCCTGATGTCTTCAAGTGTAAATTCATCAGACTGATTGTAGCTTCAGATTATTCATCACATCTCTTTTTGTTCATTCAGGACCCGCTGCTGCAGAGTGCCAACACAAACTGAATTCCAACCTGAAGGATACGTTCCAGTGTGTGTTTGAGGGGATTGCTAAAGCAGGAAACCCAACCCTTCTGAACCAAATCTACACAGACCTCTACATCACAGAGGGAGAAACTGGAGAGGTCGGGAAGACAGGAACCAATCAGAACAGTGACGACAAAGGGAGTGGCTGGTATTGGGAAAACCGTCCTAACACAGAAGTGGACTCTGGACTGGGCTGAAGACAAAGCCAACCAGGACATCCACTTCACATTTCCATTCAGTTTCAGAGAGCTGAATGTGCTGAAGGAGAGAAAGTTCAGCTTGGTGGGACTTGTTCATCACTTCTTCACTCAAACCAAAGAAGCAGGAATCTGCAGCTTTCAAGACTTTCAGGTTGTGTTTATCTTTGACGGTCTGGATGAGTGTCGACTTCCTCTGGACTTCCACAACAATCAGATCCTGACTGATGTTACAGAGTCCAGCTCAGTGGATGTGCTGCTGACAAACCTCATCAGGGGGAACCTGCTTCCTTCTGCTCGCCTTTGGATAACCACAAGACCTGCAGCAGCCAATCAGATCCCTCCTGAGTGTGTTGACATGGTATCAGAGGTCAGAGGGTTCACTGACCCTCAGAAAGAGGAGTATTTCAGGAAAAGGTTCAGAGATGAAGAGCAGGCCAGCAGAATCATCTCCCACATCAAGACACCCAGAAGCCTTCACATCATGTGCCACATCCCAGTCTTCTGCTGGATCACTGCTACAGTTCTGGAGGATGTGCTGAAGAGCAGAGAGGGAGGAGAGCTGCCCAAGACCCTGACTCAGATGTACATCCACTTCCTGGTGGCTCAGTCTAAAATGAAGAACATCAAGTACGATGGAGGAGCTGAGACTGATCCACACTGGAGTCCAAAGAGCAGGAAGATGATTGAGTCTCTGGGAAAACTGGCTTTTGAGCAGCTGCAGAAAGGAAACCTGATCTTCTATGAATCTGACCTCAGAGAGAGTGGCATCGATATCAGAGCAGCCTCAGTCTACTCAGGAGTCTTCACACAGGTCTTTAGAGAAGAGAGAGGACTGTACCAGGACAAGGTTTTCTGCTTCATCCATCTGAGTGTCCAGGAGTTTTTGGCTGCTCTTCATGTCCACCTGACCTTTACAAACTCTGGAGTCAACCTGATGAAGGAAGAACAAACAACATCCTCAATCTCTACAATCCTTGGTGTCAAACGAAAACCGAAACATCTCCATCAGAGTGCTGTGGACAAGGCCTTACAGAGTCCAAACGGACACCTGGATTTATTTCTACGTTTCCCCCTGGGTCTTTCACTGCAAACCAATCAGAATTTCCTGAGAGGTCTGCTGACACACACAGGAGGTAGCTCACAGACCAATCAAGAAACAGTCCAGTACATCAAGAAGAAGATCAGCGAGGATCTGTCTGCAGAGAAAAGCATCAATCTGAATGAACTAAATGATCGTTCTCTAGTAAATGAGATCCAGTGGTCCCTGAGATCAGAACATCTCTTCACAGAGAAACTGTCCCCCGCTCAGTGGTCAGCTCTGGTCTTCATCCTACTGTCATCAGAAAAAGATGTGGAAGTATTACTAGTATTAGTATACTGCTGGCAGTGGTCAAAGCCTCCAACAAAGCTCTGTGAGTGGACACGTGAGAGATTAAAACATTATTGTTCATGAGAGATGAAACATTGTGTCTCTGCTAATCACTGAATCTTCTTCAGTCTGAGCGGATCTAACCTGTCAAAGAGAAGCTGTGAAGCTCTGTCCTCAGTCCACAGCTCCCAGTCCTCCAGTCTGAGAGAGCTGGACCTGAGCAACAACGACCTGCAGGATTCAGGAGTGAAGCTGCTGTCTGCTGGACTTGAGAGTCCTCACTGTTCACTGGAAACTCTCAGGTCAGGTTTTCTGCTGATTGAGTTTTATAGTTGTTTGAATGAAATTGTCTAAAATTGGTACACTTTTCCTTGTTTCACATTTTTTTCTGACTCCAGGTTATCAGGCTGTCTGATCACAGGAGAAGGTTGTGCTTCACACCTGAGAGAACTGGACCTGAGCTACAATCATCCAGGAGACTCAGGAGTAAAACTGCTGTCTGCTGGACTGGAGGATCCTCTATGGAGACTGGATACACGGAGGTATAACCAGACAGTTACTGGGTCACAGACAACTACACATATATTTGGTATCTGCTACCTGAGGTTTTCACTTAGCAGGTCATCATTGTGGACCATCTTTCTGATGGACTCTTGGATGTGAACTGTTTCATCCTGGATTGTAGCTCTGATGCTCACTAGTTCTCAGCCTCCTTCCTTCCTCTTAGTGTAGAGCCTCAGGGTTCTGGATTTAGGGTGAAAACCTCAATTTGAGTATTTTGAGGAGCTTTCTTGTCTTGATTTCAGTGGTCTCTATTTCTTCCTTTGGCCAAGCTATGATGCCAGCAGGGTATCCGATCACTGGCAGAGCGTAGGTGTTGATGGCTTAGATCTTGTTCTAACAGACATACAGCTTGATGTCATCCATGTAGAGAAGGACATTAATTAAAAAAAGAAAGAAAAAAAACCTCAAACAGCTCATGAGAAATTAATTTGAATCAGACTGATGTGTGATTGTCATTCTGTCTCCTCCTCCACACAGTAACAGCAGCTATTTGTCTGCAACACTGGGCACCTGGATGAGCATCTCCTCTGAATGGCCCAGCTCTAAAATGTGTTGCTGAACTTTAGGTTTGTCTTACGGTTTGAATACTCCTCTGTTTAACAGCTTTTAGTTTTCTTCTGAGAGCTGTCACGTTGACCCGTGTAGCACCAAGACAACTCTGTGTGTGAAATTCACACATTCCTCGCAGGAAATACTCCTTATCTCGGCCCAGGACACAGGATAATATAAATCTTTCCAGACTTGTGTCAGGTTACCTAAGTGACCCGACCGGAGGTTGACCGAAACTCTGGCTCTTCACGAATGGTCAATTCAGAGAACAGAGACAGAGTCTTTATTACCTTTCAAACTGACTCCATCGCTGACCATCTAAATAATCATTCATGCCTCAATCCAGGTTTTCCATTTGAGATTTACCGTCTTAAAGTGTGTGAACACACGGACACCAAGGAAAGGTCTGAGGAACAGGACACTGACCTCCAGACCTCTGTCATAAAACCCTGCTCAACCATGTATTGATAAAACTAAATTGAGAAAGAATACAATAGCTGATCATGACATCTTATGCATTCAGCAATGTACTAATCTATCCAATCATGAAATTTGTGTTAAAATGGGATTTGTCCCATTTTTCTATGTGCTCCAGAAGCCGAGTTATCACTCTGACAGAATAAATCATTTATTCTTTAGTTTCTTTAGACCAACAGCTTTTCAGACTTCATGAACTTTTAAGAGTTAAATTTATTGACTCTGAATCATAATTTTACTCTAAGTAACATTAATAGTTTAGAAATGTTTGGTTTATATTTTAATTATTTATTTAGTATTTTTAACCATTAAGTGGTTATAATGTCACTGAATAATCTAAATGTGAGTATTTAGAATCCATTATTAATCATGATGAAGTTAATCTACGTGTTTACTCTTTTGTTGTTCACAGTTTCTGTGTTACTATCTGTTTCATTTCACAGTAATTTAGCATGTTCAATGTGATACTTAAAACATAATGAGAATGTTTGATGTGATTCTACATTTCTTCATATATGTTTAGTGTCAAATCATTTATCATGAAACCAAGCATACAATGATATTAATCATAGTGAGTGAGTATCAGATCTGACTCTTTTACCAGCCAAAAGTATAAGTTAGATCAAATAATCAGGGATCCTGATTGCACCATGAACCCTCCTCTCTCTCTGACCCCCAGAGACACCCCAGAGACAGTGTGAAGGAGATAAAAACAGTAAAGTTGGGGGTGCTCACTTTCTTCTGTTTTTGCTCTTCAGCTCTTGTGCTCTTGTTTTCCGGGTCTTCTCTCAGTCCCCTTCTTTGATCCTCTTAGCTCTTACTTTTACTACTTAGTCTTCCTTTTTCTTAGTCTTCTAAGTTTTACGCTACGTGTTCATTCATGTCGGTTTTTCTTTAACATTGTCTTAGTTCAAGTTTTGAAGCTTCGATTTTTTGTGCAAAAATTTCGCAGTCATTTTTGAAATAGTTTCGACTGGCCATCGAGCCTCTGCTTTTGAGTTATCTGCATGATTTCAAAGACACCTCTGAACGTCACACAGCAGGCCCAAAGTCATCCTCTGTGCCCGAGTTTTTGAGTGAAACTAAGGGAGCATCCAAAGGATATATACGGCGCTGGTTTTTGCTTCGGGCCTGAGTGCTGCGACACCTGGCCCATCTTTCGGCCGACTTCAGTCGTCTTCTGAGCCTCTCAAACTGCCGGTAGCCCTGGACCTTCAGAACCTGCTCCATCTTCTCCAAGGACCAGTCTCACTTAAGTATGCAAACCTCCAGAGCTCCAAACAGGGCTGATGCTGTCTCATGTGGTCATGACTCAGATATTCACTTATTCAATTAATCCTAGATTCATCCAGATCCACATCCAAATTTATCTTTACACCAGAGTTAGTGTAGGTTAATATGTTAGAGCATATTCACTCACTATCATTAATTTTAGTGCTCCTAACCTGACTCAGAATCTTTTATTATTCACCTATTATTATTTATACTCATTATCTTATCATTTATTGCATGTATGTTGTACCATCATATATCCTGTAATAAACAGATCATTGTTTTTCTAAGTTCTTGTCTGTTAGTGTTCTTTCAGAAGTGGAGTTCTGGGATATGAGATTGATTAATTTAAGGTTGACTTAATGTTAATATTTTTCCACCATTAAAGATGGGTGGTGCCCCTTGTAACGAGTACATAAATGTCATAAATTAAGATAATTATCAATTATTAATCTTAAGACATTTATTATAAATTCAAATTGCCACACCTGAACTGCAGAAACACGTCCCTCTGCCTCTGGTCTTAAAGGAGGACGTGGTGGTTGGTATTTTGAAGGACACGAGTCAGAAACCTTTTGAATGTGAAGAACCATTTTTAAATGCCTTTTACGGAGGACCACAAGGGTTGTAGACATTGAAATAATGTATTTTTAATCAAAGAAGTTATTGTACTATTAAAACAGGAATTCATAAATTGGTTTCCAAATTCACGAGTTCATCTATGAACAAATAGAGGAATTATAAAAAGATTCCACAAATGAATCTTTAAAACTGTACAAAAGTTTAATCTTTAGAAATACACGAATGCATTCTTTCATCAATAGTTTAGAAATCAGTTTGAAAATGCAGTTTTAAAAAATAGAAATAAAGAAGTGAATTGACAAACCGATGTAAGAATATTTATTTATTATCAAAGTGTTTTAGCTTTCTGTTCCCCCTCTCCATTTTTCCTTCCCTCACATTTTGGGCCTTGAGCTGGTAAAACCAAGTAAAACACTGCAAATGAGTCATGAAACAAGCTCTCTGATTGGTTATAACCTGGCTTAAAGACAGATACCATATTAATAACTTCATCATTTTTGTATTGATATCACAAACACACGGCATCACATCCATTCATTTTTTCAATTCAAAGCTTCGCGCACCGAAGCCTCGGGGTGTCTTTGATAATCACTCCGCCTGTTTTACATTTATTGTCCACTTGATGGCACAATAAAGCAAATGAAGCACAATAATGAAGCTTCGGCCCAGGAGTCGAGTGATTGGAAAGCTTCAGTGCTTCAAGAGGCTTCATCTCACCTTCACCAGCAACGAACCTCTTCCTCATGCGTGTGCATTCCCCTATTTGGTCTGACTTGATACGGAAGAAATCCACTGACCTATAATCTTTTGACTAATAACCCTTTGACAACTATTGTGAGATCCCGCAAATGTTTTGCCAGATCTCGCAGTAGTTTTGCGAGATCACACAAAAAAATTCTAAAAAATTTTTTTCCTTCAGGTTCCCTTAGGGGCCCCGTAGAATAGTGCACAGACAAAAAAGATCATTTTAAATTTATTTTATACATCAATTGTGGTATCTATGAGCTACAACATCAGGTCAAAAACCTAGTATAAAGGCCACCATTTTAACTTGGAGGACTAATAAAGTCATAATCGTAGTTCTGGGGTAAATTAAGCCAGTGGCTCAACTGAGAAAGTAAAGAAGTCTGATGAGAAGATCAGAGTTTCAGTTCAGATTGTTGAAATGTGTTACTTTTTCTTTTCAAAAATACAGCTTTGAATGTTCTGAATCACTTTTTACAAAACAGCTTTTTAGAAATTATATGCAATAATAATGGTAACAAAAATATTGTACCAGTTGAATAATGTATAATAGATAAAAATACACATGAATGTGAAGAAGTGACTGTTATTCAGGGAGAGAGAAGGTGAGGGAGGGCTGGAAAGTGTGTGTGTGTGTGTGTGTGTGTGTGTGGGGGGGGGGGGGGGTTAGAAGGGCTCAACTTCCCCTGCTGACCACTTTTTTTAAAATGCTATATTATCAAGACAGTTATGTTTAAACTCATTCTGTTGGTTTGCAGGGATGCACAACATCTTGAAGTATATGCAGACACACTAGTTTGAGATAAAACTATGATTGCCTTGATGTACTGATCCGAAAGATGACTCATCTTACCCCACTCTCTCCTATATAGTAATGTATGAAATGGCCACTATGGTATGTAGAAGAGGAGGAGAGCTGTTTGCAGGAGAGTGATTTGGATGATGCTTGTTCTGAACTAAGGTATGTTCAGAAGAAGCAACTTGTGCATCATTTGCACACCCAGAGTCTTAGGGCTCTATTTTTGTGCCTCGCCATCGACTCAGCGTAAGTCAGGTCTGTCGCGCTTACAAGGCGTTCCCAAGCACAATTTGGTGTTTTGGTGAGCGGCGCAGCCCGGCGTAAGTATCCCCCCTCCCTAACTCAGCTCCTCCCAGCGGAGTAAGTCGTAGCGAGGGAGGAGAGAGGGCGTGGAGTGGGTTTAACACAGCCTGGACCTGTATTGACCAATAACATCAGCTATGTATGTATGATTTTCACTGGAACAGTTACAGTTGAGGCCAAAATTATTAGCTCCCCTCTGAAATTTTTAGTTTTTCTCCAAAATTTCCAAAGTGCTGTTCAACAGATTAATGATTTTTTTACACAGCTTTTCTGAACATCCTCGTTTCATTTTGGATCCTTACATTATTTTACTTTGCACACAGAAACAAAATTATTTCACAAAAAACAAAAACTACCAGGGTCAAAAATATAAGCCCCCCTGAGGCTGATAGTCACTTGTGTGT